GCCCGAGGTGACATCACAGATAAAAAATAAATTTGTAGGCGATGTCGCCCGAGAAAAGAAGGAAAAAAAAAAAACTTCGCCTCTCTTTGCCCCGCGACGTCGATGCCTCTTCTCCTGGGCGCGGAAGAGAAGTCGTCGACAGACGAGGAGGAGAGTGGTGATCTCCTGGTTCTCCCCTTTTCCTATTTCTTTCTTCCCCTTCTCTCTCTTCTTTCTTCTCCCTCAGTAATCGTCAACGATAACGCCTCAATCGATGGTACCGCTCGGTAGCGGACAGTCCGTGTGCCGGCCTGCTGACGGACCGGTACGTATCGTCTAGTACGGGCGGTATCATTCGGTATTGCAGACCTTACCCACAACCTTTGGTCCAGTATCCATAGAATAGTTAGGTTATTTTGTTAATGAGACCCTTATGTAGTAAGTTTAATTTGCTTTGATGTTAACTTGTGTTCTTTCTGATTATGATGAAATGCTTTCCTAGAATCCATGCAAGTTTCTCTCACCCGCAGAAAGTAGTTTTCTTTTCTTTTTTTTGGCTCTTTTTATAAAGTCGTTAAACAATTTTTAGAGCATTTATATCTTGAACTCTTTGTCGGATTGATTAGGTTTTGCCACTCAGTCTGGCTTTACTTTTTTTTGCTTTTCTGTGATGTGCCATTCTAACTATCACTGTCAATTATTATAGTTGAACCACATGAGGAGGCCTTGCAGAGGGTCCAGGAAGCCAAGAATGCTGCTAACAAAGCTGTTGAGTTTGCCATCCATTTACGCGGTAGAGCTCAGATGCTCTTGTCAAATGCTGAGCTTTTAGTGTACAAATCTGTCATGGCTCTCAGAATCGCCGAGTCTATTGAGGCATGTGATACATCGGATCCTGCTCCAATGATTCTGGACTGAATGCAAGGGGCTATCTGATATCTGTGCTTAACTTGCAATATCTGTGCCCTGTCATGGCTCTTAGAATTATGGAGTCCATTGTGGAATGACTACCAGCGGTTGAGATTGTACAGGAACACTATATAAAAAAAAAGAACAACTGTTCGCCTAATGGACTTTTTGTTGTTGTTTTTTTTTTTTTTGTGCTGCCGGATGGTTCTCCAGCAGAGTAATGTGATAGGACTGTTTTCAAAGCCATTTTTGAGGTCGGTTAGTGGAAATTATGCCGATCAACCATAATCTTTGTATAAAATGAGACGATCCCTATATTTTGTAAATTGTATCATTCTTGCGTTACATTTGCAGTTGGTATCTTATCTTGTGCTTCTCGAGGCTTATTGTGCTTCTCGATGCTTGTAAACTGAATCCGAATGTCTATGCGAGTGTTGAGTTATTGCTTTGAAATTTTTATTCTGTTCTATGTAGATATCAATCATATCCCTTGAGATCTCCAGATTGATGGTTCTGGGAGAAGAACATTTGCTGCTGTAAATGACTCTTCTTTCTTCTGTAAAAGGTGAGTTACATGGGTGTACTTTTATTAATTTGAAATTAAATATTTTCAAATAGCAGTTGAGAAACATCAAATCGAAGAGATTGATGGAAAAGACATGGATGCTTCAGCTGTTCAATGTTTAGGTATCTGCAGTTCTGCCTACAGAACAAACTGGTGAATTGCATTTTCTCCATTCAAGCAGATTCCAAAGCTGAACATTTTTTTTAGTTTGAATACAAGAAAAAATATTCCCCTTTCGCTTAGTCAATGAACAAAAGGCTAATCATTCCTTGGAATGATAAGTTGGTCTGCCATTAGGCCCCATATATTGGATTCTACCTCGGCCAGTTCCAGAAATATGACTGAACCAACTCATGCTGTGGGTTACTCAGTTGTTCATGGATCTGTCTGTTCGAACATTTCATGTAAGAAAAAGAAATCTTGGAGATACAAGCTTCTGATACATGGAAGTAAAAAAGGACTTCCTTTTCTTACACCGGAGGGGAAAAAAGTCTCGCAAGTTACCCTTCTCCAACCTCTGATCCCCTTCAGAAACCAAACAATATGCAGTCCAAATGTCACCTGCTTAATAACAAGTGGTGTTTGGATAAGCTATAAGTTAGCTCAGCAGTTCCTTTCCAGCTCAGAAAAGTGGTGTTTGGTAGTATGATTAATACGTTTCAACCTCATGGTTGTGTCCGAAACCAAGTCTTCTTTAATGTCCCAAAATCCTCTCTTGTTCTGCGCCCATGGCTGCTGCCATTGATGTTTCAGATACAGTAGGATGTCGGCAGGTGGCTCATTTTTCACCTAAACAAGAAGGTGGAGAATCTCCCACTTTTTGATCGATCAAGCAAGGTGGTGCTGAAAATCTGGATCAAGATACTACTGTAAATGAAGGTTTAGTAATCATAGAAGCTGAAATGAACCGATAAGCCTGCACAGATTGCCTTTCTCTTCCAGTGAGAAATGAAGATGGCATAGGTTAGGTTGAGTTAAGGAATTTGATTCAGAACACTACTGGTGTGCAGGCCAAGCTGTCTTCGACAACATGATCATATTTAGAGCTTCAGCTATTAACCAACATCTGTTTCAGTCAGCATGGTGTGTTAGGGGTTTAGATGGAGGTTTAAATATATTGAAACATGTTCATCATCTTGATCAAAATTGACATCTCTAGGTAGAAAAAGTTGCTCTTACCTCAGTCTCTTCACTATTCAGAATATAGGATTCCAGGTTGACATTATGTAACCACAGAGCTTCTATCCTTGTCAGCCTCCAAATGAGGGTTGACAATTACAAGGTTTGCAATACCGTACCGTACCGTACCGGTATTTCGATCTGGGCTCGATCCGTGTACCGACAACCTATCGAACCGGTACATACCACCCGTACCGGGCGGTACAGTTCGGTACTGCAGACCATTGGACAATTGTTTCTCATATACTGTACAGTGCTGATATAAGAATTATATTTCTGAACAAACCATAATCTTTTCTTTAAGAACTTTTGTGCCTGAATTATTACTGTTAGCTTCTTATGATTCATGATTCACAAATCCCAAAAGCTTAAATGGTAAAGAAAAGATAAAAGGTTCAATATCTTCTTTAACATCTAGTAAACTTGATTGTATGAATATTTTTTAATTAAACACTTGAAAAAAGAGATAAGCACAACATTTAAACTCATGACCACTCTGGGATCATCTTGAGATTGACTTGGATGACCACAAATCAAATCTTAGTAGGTTAAACTTTTCGAAAAAGAAAAAAAGGATAATATATACTCTTAACAAAAAAAATTCAAAAAAGCTAGGAGAGAAGGTATAGGATTGCTGTGACTGCAAATGCATAGTTTACCTGTTTCTTGTCTGACTTCCCACCAACCATAGCAAGTGATGGGAGAAGCAAATGGGGATATGTTTCTGATGGCAGACAACTAAGCAGCAGCTGTTAATGTGGATGATAACAGTGCAGCAGAGCATGTGTAAGCAATAGGCCATGGCCTAATGACAACTTGGATGCCGGCCACTTGTTGGCCAAGCTTTCTTCTCGCTCCATGGCATCCATCAAGAACAACACAAGAAGTTGACTTGTACTTCACTGCTGGTTAGAAGATGAGCAGTAAAAAAAAGTCCAAACCTTTCACCCAAACTTCACATTAGCAGATGTGAGTGAGAAGAAGAACATAGAAGAGAAAACTCTGCTTTGACCCAACCAGGTTTTCATGTCAGAATCATATTTCTTAAAGACAAATGGACAACTTAGTTTAGGTGTGAGCTTGGAAGTCAGCAGCATCATCAAGTGAGATCTGGGAAGAGGGTGGAAAGATATATTCCACCCAACACCGACACTGTGTGGTGAGTGGGCAGTCACTTTTGGGAGGGAGCTCCAATCTGATGTGGGTCCAAAGAAGCCAACCTGTGTCTACAAAAAGATAACATCATATGTCAAGGGAAAGAGGCCTCATTCATTTCTCCCACCACACAATGAGGGAGGCATGCAGCTATCTTCCTTGTTATGTTGTAGCTATCACCACATGAACACTCCCTAAATCATCGTCAAATTGTGGAGAGAATATATATGCTCATCATCAACTCCATGTAAGAAACATCACAGATTCAAAAGCTGGCCAATTTAACTTTCACTGTAGAAGACTTCAAAACCGAAAACATCAATAACCGAATATAAATCTAAAAATCCAATGAATCAACACAATCAAAGGCAATAGAATTTACAATTTTTCATCATGTAAGATCAAACAATAAATTTTCTTGAGTTAATGGAAACTCAAGCTCGAAATCTTTTGCATACTAAAAGTATCTGTCATAGGAAGATGGAAAGATGATTGAGTTGGTGGTGGAGATGGCAATTTGGTCTCAGGTGAAGATGCCAAGAAGCACCCTTTGCTTCTTCCTCAAGATCAAAAAGATAAAATGGTTGGTGCTGCAATCATTGACAGAGTGGCTTTTGCATCTATGCTTTGCTGCTTTCACTCCACATAATTGAGGTGCCATGAGAAGTGAGGCTCTTGTTCTTTGTCATGTCCTGCACCTACAAGCTGGAGATTGATGGGTGTTTGGGCTTATCATCACCACTGCCAATGAAGACAACATGTAAATTTTCTATGACCCTTCTGAGAAGAATAAAAAAAGAAAAGGTTGGAATGCATGCTATGCCATTTAATACATTCACAATCATTCATTCTGAATGATCCATCAACACAGTTAGGCTTATCCTACACTCAGCAATTTCTTCTTTTTCTTTACTCTCCAAGAGGATGAAAATTATTCTTAATATAAAAAAGTAAGACTGCATAAATTAACCCCTCAATAGAGTAAAATTTTTCTTGGAATTTGGAAGATTTTTAAGAGTAAGCAAAGTGAGAGAGGAAGGTATGCTAATCAAACCGAGCGAGTGAAAGATCCTCTGCATCCAATATGTCCTGCTGTTCCCTGGGACCCATGTTTTGTGGACCCCTCCACACCCCTTCCACTCCTCCTTACTCAACCCTCCCACTACTGTGAAGCATCTCCTCTTCCTCTCTCTCTCTCTCTCTCATATCCACCATTATTTTGGATAAAAAACTCTGCTTTTTATTCTCTTCCACCCAGTCTCCAGTTGTCCTGTTGGAATCCAAAGCCTCTCTCCCTCTCTCTCTCTCTCTGCTCATTTCATCTTCCGAAGAATTGAATTCATTTTTGGTCTGCAAAGCTTCTCTCCGTCTGTATTTTCTTTTTGTTGTTTGCATAGATGCCATGCTCTGCTACAGTTGTTCGGAAGCTCTTTTCTTGTGACTCCTGAGGCCTCTTTTTCTCCAGCTTGCCTTCTCTCTCTCTCTCTCTCTCTTATTTATACTGTTTGTTTACTTGTAATTACAGTCGCCATTGAAGATCCATTTGGTACCTTAATATTTTAGAGAGTTTCAGCATTAAGGCAGCTGTTTCGAGCCATTACTCCGCCGCTTTGCGCTCCCAAAATTGTTCATTGATCGCTATTCCTTGACTTTACTTTTTCGTTTAGGTTTCTCTGAATGTGGCGCTTTCGATGCCAGAACCTGGCTACGAGTAAGATCTGATAGAGGGCAGAGGGTGGAAAGAGAAGAGAGGGAGAGGGAGGAGTGGGATCAAAGACCTAGTCTTTCTTCAAAGATCTCATCTTTCTTCCGAGATCTTTGCTTCCGGGTGCAATGAGGTCGGAGGCTCGGCTAGAATCCTTGGTGTTTCAGCTCACGCCTACTCGAACCAGGTAAAATGTCAGATCCTTCTAGATGTAATTGTTTCTTGTTCAAGGGTTGGATCAAGGTGAGCGGATGGGACCGTATCAGATGTTTCCATATAAAAAAAGTTCAGATCTTGGGAGATTTTGTGGTAATTTTGTTTGAGATGTGGGAAAAATCTTCTTGACTAATTGATAAGATCTATCAGGGTTTCTCAATCGAGCTCCAAAAGAAAGAAAAGAAAATTCTGCATGCTATTATAATGGGGACTTTGGGAGCATGAGTGGAATCCTTCTTTTTTATATAGGAAATTGTCAAAGTTGTTAGATTACACAAAGGAATTTGCATTGAGATGCTTCGGATGTGATTACTTCCTGCTAGTTCAGATAAGGATTAAACTGACAATTTTGGTTCAGGTAGTAGTTAGTATTATTTTTGCTATTTCTGTATACCAGGCTTCTTAATGAGTATGATATCATTTGGATTGATATCCATCCACCCCGTAGACCATTGCCTGACTGAAGAGTATAGTACTCGATAAAATTCATCCCTCGTTTTTTGTTTATTGTAGCCATATGTATTGGGCAGACTTAGGCTTGTGTGAATCATTATAAGATGGTTTTGGTATCATTCGTGGAGGATGCTTGTTCATTATGGAGTCTTGCTTTTCTTTCTTAACAGGTGTGATTTGATCATCATAGCAAATGGTAAAAGACAGAAGATTGCATCTGGCTTGTTGACTCCTTTTCTTGCCCATTTGAAGTTCGCCCAGGATCAGATTGCCAAGGGTGGCTATTCCATCATTCTTGAACCAGACCCAGAAACTGAGGCAGCATGGTTCACCAAGGGCACTGTGGAGAGGTAAGCAAATGATCTTTCAAGTGAACAACACAACATGGAATTGTCATATTAACTGTTGGTCTTCAAACATGTCATTTCTCAATTCTTGATGAGCTAGTTGCATTTTATCTTTTTGGAGGAACTTTGGGCACATGCTCAAATTTTAATACCCAAATTCAGCATCTAATTCTGATATTGACAGGTTTGTTCGTTTTGTGAGCACACCTGAGGTTTTGGAGCGTGTGACAACCATAGAGTCTGAGATCTTGCAGATTGAAAATGCAATTGCCGTTCAGGGGAATGATAATGTTGTCTCAAGCATTGTATATATCCGAACTATTCATATGTTCTTTGTAAAACTCAAATGACATCCTTTTTTATGCCATTTGGCAGGTAGAAGATCATCAATCAAAGCCAGCAGAAACAGTAGAAGGTATATAATTTCATCTGGTTCTATAGTAGTCCTAAATAAAAAACCATAATTGATTTGTGAGCATTTTAACATTTGGTTTCTCCTTTCCTAGGTGTGTTAATGTAGTCCCATGGATCAAAGAAGTTGTAGTTTGTGTCCAATTTTCAAACTAACATCTTGTTAGTAGGAGCAGGTTTCTATATGTTCCAGCATCAGAACTTTGTCAACCATAGTGTACAAGAACAGCATTAAAACACAATTTTTTTTGTTCTGAACAACATTAAGACACTTTTTTTTTTTCTTCAAAAGTAATGAAGTCTGCTATACTGGCTTTTCATTAGGGCTGATGATCTCCTGACCTACATATCAAAGATACTTAAGGAATCTTATGTCATCCAACATACATGCTAGTTGCATTTTTCATTTAACTTTCTGAAAGTTAGTTATCTTAATATTTCTATTTGGCCTTAATTATCCATATGTATGCCACGGACACATCAATTTTAATATTGATTTCAGTTTCTGTTCCACTACTTACACCCTTTGCTATTCTGACCTTTGTATCGTCGCTGTCTCATGGGTAGGTACGAAGATCTCAGTTGATACTGATGCAGCGAAGGCAATAGTTCTTTATAAGGTATTGATTTTATGCATGCATCATACACACATACATGTATATTTGTAACAGTTGACATTTGCATACAAAACCTCTGGAACACTGATATGGAGAGCTGATATGATGTGTTACTTGCATGTCAACATGACAAATATTGAAAAGATATAATAGGATTTTGGTTCAAACATAATAATAAAGTATATTAAAATGTATACCATATTATACGGTAAAATTTTCCATTTATTTGAATTACTAAAATATGTAGTTAACAATCATGATAAATAATAAAATATTAGCTAGCTTCTATTCGACATGAAAGTATACAACCAAAACTTATGATAAGTGAAGTAAGAAAAAAAATAGTTATTATAGACTTATAGTTTTATTAATTGTAATATGATGTTAAATACAAATAAAACCATATGATCTGTCTAGAGTTCAATATTCATATTGACTATTATCGCAAAATTGACTTTTGCAAAAAGTGTTTGGCTATAAATCTCTTTTTTCAATGAAATTCCTATACATCCTAAAAGTATCCTATTTCTGAATAAATAATTATTTGAAAAAAAAATTGATACTTCAAAAAGTTATGTTACTTGTTTAAGAAGTATCCTTCCAAGTGTTAGTATTTGGTATGTATTTGATGTTGTTACATTGAGAGATTCAAAGTAATTTTATTCTGTGCACACAACATGCATATACGTAGCTACACACATGCACATTTGTATGTATTTAATACTTGTCTCACAGAGATGTTAATAAACATGTTTTTTTCTTGATATGTGGCAGCCTGATTCACAACCAAATCCACCAGATTCTAATGGATCCACCACACAAGAGAATTCAAAGTATGAGCAACCTAACATATCCTTAGCCTTTTCTTTCCTAGAAATTGGTTCTTCTGAAGCATGCAAGAATAGTAGTACGAATGTCCCCCATATATGCAAGAATAATTTATATTGTCTTTTCCATTTAATATGTTGAAGCATCAGATAATCAATAAATAACGGATAAGTAAGGTGGCATCCATGTTCCTTTTAGATATTTCCAGTGATAGCATCCTAATTGCATGATAGGAATAACAATGAAAAAATAAGCCTTTTCTTTGGTGGATGCTTATATTATCTTTCATTAGTACTTTTTCATTACATGTTACAGTAAGAATGAATTCCTTTTTGCAGAGTTCAACTTCTAAAAGTGCTTGAGACTCGCAAAATGGTGTTGCGGAAGGAACAGGGGATGGCCTTTGCACGTGCTGCAGCAGCTGGTTTTGACATGGACAATTTACTGGATTTGATATCATTTTCTGAAAGCTTTGGTGCCTCACGTTTAAAGTTAGTTTTGCCTTTGTCCAACTAATACATTACCGAATACTGCTAGTTTTCATCATTTTAAATTCCTAGTTAACATGTTGAGATATAGAATGATTCGGCAACCGCAGGGAATATGTGAACTGGGAGTATATTTGCTGTCAAAATCTGAAAACTTCAGGTGCATAAAATGACAAAGTAAAGAGTAATATGAATGCATTAAAGGTATTTTGAAAACAAAATTAAGGAACACTTTGTAAATCTTGATATAGTGACAAGTCTATGACTTATTTATCTCTAATGATGGTATGACAAAGGTTTGAGATAATTCCTGTGATCATGTCACCATTGTTTGATATGTTTTCTTCATCTTATATTCATTATAGTTCTCATTTCTTCCACCTTATAAAACAGGGATGCCTGCTTACAATTTATGGAGCTATGGAAGAAAAAGCATGAGACTGGACAATGGCTTGAAGTTGAAGTTGCAGAAGCCATGTCAACTCGGTCTGAATTTTCTGCTTTGAATGCCTCTGGGATTATATTTGCTACAGATCCTATGATGCAGAATGATCACGGAGATGCACAATCTGTCACTGGCGGTGATATGCTTACAGAGACTGATGGAAGAGCTGGTATATGCTCCGAACATGAAAGCTGAGACCACTTTACATCAGCTAATATTCATGTTAAAGTCGGTAGCTAAAGAAAAAGTCCTTTAATTCTCATAATACATATCACAATCCTAGTAAAAGATTTTAACTGCTTCTAATTTTTGGCCTAAATAATCTAAATTATTTGATGCACCAAGCCTTCTCTAATTCTACATTTCCATGCATTGTCAAAGGCACTCTCCCCTATCTGTAAACTTATGACAAGTTCTTCCTTTTGGTTTCAGCATTGCAACGTATTATTTCTTATTGATCATATAGTCAACTCATTTTATTTGGTTGACATATCATCTTAGTTGGAAGTTTCCCATGAGAAAACCTCTCATAATCTTTATTCTTTTAATGCTATTCAAATGGCAAGTCTGATCAAATATGTAACATGAGTTCCAAAACAAATGCATGCATGAAGATAACCACAATGTATTTATGTGAATTCTTGCATAATGCAAACCAATTACCTCAATTCCAGATTTCCATATATTAGTATTCTGGGTTGATAGATCAGTGTATCTTAATTCATTTGTTTCTTCTGTTCAGATAGACAGATTCCTTCAGATTCAAAGGTGCCACTGGGACACCAGGAGTATCTTCAAGGTCAATTCCAGCATCCTGCTTACTCACAGTGGCCTATGCATCCTCCACCAGGTCCTCCTATGTTTCAACCTTATCCCATGCAAGGAATGCCTTATTATCAAAACTATCCAGGGAGCGTTCCATATTTTCATCCCCCATATCCTCCAATGGAGGATCCTAGATTCAACAGCTCTCACAGAAAGGGGTCAAAAAGGCAGTCAGCAGATAATAAAGACATTGAATCAGAGACTTGGGAAAGAAGTACGAGGTCACAAGATGATTCAGATCAAAATACTTCAGATCTTGAGAAAGAAGGTTCTCATGGTCATAAATCTCACAGAAGAGTTGGTCGGAAAGGAAAGAAAAAGCCTGGTGTTGTTGTCATTCGCAACATAAATTACATCAAATCGAAGAAGCATGGCTCAGTGGAATCCGAAAGTGGTTCACAGTCTGTCTCTGAATCTGAAGCTGAAGAAGATAGTGAAGATGTGCATGCTGACATGCGAGAAAGAAAGCACAAGCACTCTGTTAGGCGTTCCAAGAAAGAAGATCGTCCAACAAAACCTGAAGAATTTTCAGATGCCTATGGCAATGATAAAGCTGCATATCGAGAGGAGGCAGATTCTGGAAATTGGCAAGCATTTCAGACTTTCTTACTAAGTGCTGAAGAAAAGTCAAGAACAGTTGGTGAAGACATGTTCATGGGAGAAAAAGAGCCTCAGTCAAAGAGAAAACAGAGCAAAAGCGAAGCTGATCCTATCGTTCTTCCTGAGCGAGATTATGGTGATTATCATGATGGGGGGATGGCAGAATTTGATTCTGTTAGTGGGAAGACTATCCGAATGAAGCAGGTAGCTTCTGATGATCAATTTTTAGCTTCAAGTAACGGAAGAGACTTGACAGATAACCAGTTCAAGGAAATAGAAAGTGGTGGAAGAGCATACCGGCAGATGAGCAGTGATGAATTTATGATTTATGAGCAAGAAAAGCAATTCAGTATTAAGAATTCTTCTGACCCATTTGTTGATCATGTGGATGAGCATCCTGTTAAAGCAGTTGAGAGTTTGTCATACAACATAACAGATGAGACCTTCATGCTTCCTTATAGAACAGATTCACAGGATCTTGGATCAGACAGCATAATTCCTATTGACATGGATTCTGAGTTCTCCTCAGCCCTTCAGAATGGTTCGAATTTATATGATAAAGCCAAAAATCAGCTTAGCTACGAACCAGATGACTTGTCCTTGGTTCCTGAACGTGAAACAGAAACTGTCTCTGTCGGATATGATCCAGCAATGGACTATGATTTTCAGATTCCTGTTGCAAATGCTGTCAAGCTGGAAGCCACTAACCAAGAGGATCTCTCAGAAAGCACTAAAGAAGAATCACAGAAATTAGACAAGGAGAATTCAAGGGCCTCAAATGATAGTATGGAGAAAAGGAGGAAGGATGCACTGGTGAAGAAAGGGACATCCTCGAGGCTTAACCTATTGACTGAAGCCCAAAAACGTGCAGAGAAGCTGCGTTCTCACAAAGTTGATCTTCAGAAAATGAAGAAAGAAAGGGTACTTCTTATGATTGATCCTCTGTTGGCTGTCTGAAATATGTTATGAATATTTCTCTGGTTGCTAATCAGAGGAAGTGAGAAAGGGGTGTCAGACAGGAAAGCACATTCCAAGAAACCTGATGAGCTTATACTTCATATTATCTTTCATTGATAAAAACAAGCATAAACCTGATTGCATATTTCCTTTATTCATTGAGCTATCCTTTTCTTGATTAGTTCTTTCAATCACCCTATCCTTTTCTCTTCTTTGATTAGCATGTCAACTATCTTTTTGCACAAAACCTTGGTATAAGTAAACTAAAGATAGAGCACTGACAATCTCATACTATGTTGTTTCTACTAGTGTTTTAAGTCTCTTTTCCTCTGATAGTCCATTTGGCTTTCGATTGTGTCTCACAGTTCTGAACAAGTATACTTGACATTGTTTGAAGGTACTAAAGATTGTAGTTCAGAAGTTTTAATTCTTTGGTATGTTGTTGTTTTAAAGTCTTGTTAGTTGAGTATAGCTGTATAAAGAAGTTTTCTCCGCTAGTCTGTTGTGGCTTAGTCTTGATGTTTTGCTTCTCTGCTTGGCTGAGCATGTCACTATTTTTTTACTTTTTTAGGAAGACGAAGAGCTAAAGCGTTTGGAAGCTTTGAAAAGGGAGAGGCAAAAAAGAATAGCTTCAAGAAGTGGTTCGACAGTCACTCAGGCGCCATCAACTCCACAGCAGACAAAGGCCCGTTTAGCCATAAAGCCTTCACCAGGTCCTCACAAAGGATTAAAGCTTAGCAACACAGAGCCTGTTTCTTCTTCACCTTTGCGAAAATTGCCCATCAGAACCTCTTCAGACGGATCCAATGATCCCCAGAAACCTATTAAATCCAGCAAATTAAATGGCAGTAACCATGGGTTAACTCGATCAGCATCTTCATTACCTGAGGTTAAAAAAGAAAGTAATGGGCTCATGCCGGAAGCAAAAACAGATTCTCTTCGGATGAAAAGACACTCTGATCCCAAAAGCAATTATACTCAATCTGGTTCCTCGGTGAAGTCTATAACTGCAGATCAAGATTCAAAGAGAGGGGTACCTGATGAGTCTCAGAAAAAGATTACTGCAATCATACAACAGGAGGAAAGTAAGTCAGCAACTCTACCAGAGCTTAGGATTAAAACACCACCAACTTCAACTGAAGTAGTTGAAAATGAAACAGCTAGCAAAGACCCATTGCAGAAGGAGACTGCAAGAGAAGCTTCTCAGGCATCTGATACCAACAACGGAAAATCAGCCAATGACAAGCCACCTAGCAACAACGACGAGAATCCAGTGATCGAGAAGACTGTCGTGATGCTTGAAAATAATTTGGTCACTGCCCCTGTGGTCCAGCAGTCTGATGAGATGATAGACACAAAGGAGAGATCACATGGAGATGGGATGGTTACAGGATATGCAGCTCTTCATGCTCCACCTTCACCAGTTATTATAACTCAGGTTGAGGATTCTGGTGAAGGCAAGTTGAATGAACAGCTGAATTCCTACAAGGTATATTTTATCTAAGTTGCACATCTTTAAAGGACTTTATTAGTTTACTGATTGTCTCATCACTTCTCTCTCTGAGCACCATTTTCTTTCTAGCAAATATTTTAATTCTCAACATCTTTAGCATTTGAGTTCTTATAAAAGCAAATATCTATTTGTATTTAGTTTGTTTCATATTTCAATGCTTTGTCTGATAATGCTAATGGTTCTGTTTGGTGCTTTTCTTTTGCCCATTGTTCACGGGCAAGCTGCTTGTGGGATCAATAAGGCTCAAATCTAATCACATTATTTAAGGGGCTTTCTAGCGACGTATACAATTACATAAATTTTATCTTGACTACTGCTTCCATTTAGAGCACTCCTTTTTTATTTATATATCTTCTTTCCTCAACAAATGCTACTTTAGGCTGATGATGGATGCATGTTGCTTCTGCTGATCAGGTGGTTGTTCCTTGCTTGGGGAGTGAGCCTCAGAAGTTCTCAAACTTGACTGTAGCAGAAAAGAGTTATCAAGCCCCTTATGCCAGAGTTACATCCTTGGAAGATCCTGCTGCTCCTAATTTGGGATATGTAGGTGTACCTGCATCAGAGTCTGAGATGGCTGCAGAACATGCTGAGAATGGGAGTATTACGGTACATGTATCCGGTTTCAAGAATTCAAGTTTAACTGATCTCACTCATGAAACACATGAGAAGCCTCGAAGCAAGGAATCAAAAGGTTTCAGAAAGTTGTTAAAATTTGGACGTAAGAGCCATGGCTCAGCTTCAGGTGAAGGTAACCTTGACACAGATGCTTCATCAGTTGATGATCCAACAGTTACTGCTGCTTCATCCAACGATGGTAAGATCTCAGCTTCTGCAGATTATTCCTTTTTTTTTTCATTTTACGTAATGGATTATTGCATAAACAACTGAATTCCTCTAATCAAGAAAGAAAAAATCTGCTCACCTTGATTACGTCTTATCTTTACCTAGCTGATTCAATCAATAATTTGTGCCATATCGAGTTAGTCAGCTGTTACTTGAAATTTTGATGAGTTTGCTACTTCTAGTTGTTAAGCGGAATAAAAGTAGAGGCTTTTAGACCAGTCATCAACAACGACATAGAAAAAAAATTGAAACAGCAAAGTTGTCTTTGTGCTTCTAAGAAAATATTTATCACAGAAGCTTGGGTGTTGACGCAAAGCATAGTGGAACCCTTCTTGCCAAATGATATGTGCATGTTGCAGGTCTTCGCTTTCTTTTCGATTCATATACCGAAAAATCACATTTCTTGCAATGATTCTCATGCTGGGGGCACACCAACTAATGTTCAGACATCTATTTTACAACTTCCCAGCTCATCTACATATAGCTCTGTGCTGTTGCTCGAACAGTCCAAAATTGGTAGCGTGACAGATCTCACTAAAACATTCTTTTCTGCTTTTTCTCCTTCGAGGAGTAGCTGTTGCTTGTATAAATTTATCTGTGTGGATTTTACTTCGATCCAATAGTCGTTGCTCAAAATATCAATTCTTTGATGCAGTTACTCATTCGTTCTCCCTCCTTTCACCCTTCCGAAGCAAGAACAGCGAGAAGAAACAAGCGGCGTGACGAGCACTGCAATGAAAGTTCTATCCAGTCGAGGAAGATACATCAAGAGGGGGATCTGCTTCTGTCGAGTACATAAACATATATGGGATGTGATATATCGGTTTTCGAGTTGGCCATATACCATTCTATTCATAGTCCTAGTGTAAAATTGGTGTGTTATTTATTCCTTATTGTTCATATTAATATTGACCAATTGTTTGTGCAAGAATTTTTCTTGAGGTTGGATGATTGATGCAAACTTGTATCTTGAAGCATTCCAGTTTTGTTGTTCATGGGTTTCTTTCCATGTGAATTGTGGTGTTGATGGATCATGGCAAAGTAGCTCTCATCTTCGTTTTATTTTGTACATATCAAACCACAGTTTTCAATTTCATATCCATATACAGTATGTTGAACTACTCACATAACATTATTGAACTTTTGAGGTATAGTTTATTTAATTGTACTTTTTCATTATAGATTCCTAATGCAGCCTCTAATGGTATATAATGAGTTCTTAGATGCATGTGTGAGACCCACGTGTATCGCACGTGTCACTTATAGGTAGAAGAAGAAGCAAGCCCTCATTAGGCCCACTTAAGCATGCGTAGGTCGGCCCATTGCGTCCGTAACATTCTTCTGCGTCAGGGTTAGGGTTCCGTTATATTCGTGGAGCCGCCTCATCTTGAGGCAACTGCCTCCCCCTTCGCTCCCTCGCTCCTCCTGCAGAGTGTGCAAGTCGGAGACAGCGACGACTCTTCTGCAGCCATGGTGCAATTCTAGTGTTCGCCTTTCTTCGATTCGTTCCTTTTGGTTGTAATCCGTTACTAATCTGATGTTTTTTTTCCCTGTTTTGGATCAGGTGAAGTACTCGAGAGAGCCTTCCAATCCTACCAAGTGTAAGTTGCTTTCGATTTGATTTTTGGGTTTCTTTCGACCTCGGATATACTCATCTTTGAAGCCTGGGTCTTGGTTTTGATCGATCTCCTCCGATGTTTGTCTTGGTTACTTAGTCCTTCCCCGGGAATGTAGAATCTTGCGGTCGTTGTTATCTGATGCTTTTGATAAAAGGTCAATAAAAAAGAGATTTTGCGTTTCCTTGAACCCTGATTTCGAGCATTTTGGAGCTCGGGGTATCGTTTTTGTCTGATCTACTGCGATTTAGTAACGATTCGGATATAAGGATCTATGTCTGTTGTTTCTGTTGGTCGTGGCGAATTCTCTTCTTGAACTGATATGCTCAGTTACTCTTTATTATATGATGTTCTCTTCAGATTTTTGTCATTCTTTTTCTTTGAGCTTATATGTTTTTGGTCTTTGCAGCCGCCAAAGCCATGGGTCGGGACTTGAGGGTTCACTTCAAGGTGCGAGATTTTTCACTATTGTATGAGTACGAGTTCTATGCTGTCCCATTGTTAGTTCAGATTTTTTTTTGTGTGCAAATACTAGTAAAATAGTGTGAAAGCAAAGCTAGTATATGGATCTCTTGAGTTGTGGAAAAAGGGAGAAAATGATATCTAGACATCCATCCGGAAAGCTAGAATTCAGTAAAAACATTATTTTTATATCTGAAGGCGATTTTTTTCTAAACTGAGGGTCTATAATTATATTTATTTCTAGTGTCTCATATCTTTGGCATTATTTTGGTTGATTTGGTTTTTTTATTGTATTTATGCGAGATTTCTATCTTCATCATCCATATTCTTTGCAACATGGTAACCGCGATGGTGCATTTATCTTGTACTTGATTTTTATACTTAATAAGTAGATTTTCATGAAAGATGTTAGTATAAGCGGTTGCCATTTCAGTGGTAGAGCTGAAAATTCAGTGAACCAGATCTAGCTAAATATAGAGGAAAGGGGAAAGGGAGGGAAGTTTTGTCAGCAATGTTTTACGTATTTCTAGGATCAATATCTCATGTTTTATTAGTAGTTGCAAATAATACCCTCTGCCTGGTCTTCTACTTCATGAGTCTGTTTCATTTATGCCAAATTCTCATGCTTTAGGTTCAGCATTGTCTTTCATTTTTAATTCGAGGTGATTAAGATTCAACTTTCCATTGACCGTTACTAACTCTAATGTCAAATTAGTTTTCAATAGTAATCTGATGCTGTGCTTGAAGCCATTTTCAGATGTATCAGTAGTGACCGCATGTGCTCTATATATGATTATGTGCACATATCTACGAAAAAGATTTTATGTTTATAATGAAACTTTGAAAGCAAATTATTTTGGTTGCATTTAGATAGGATCTGTAAATAATAGTCCAATTGGTTTTTTCTAATTGTTGTGACTGCTCCACACAGGACTATGTATATATGTATACTAAATTTGTTAATTGATGGCTCTCTTATATACAGTTAAAAATATCACCGTCTCTGAGTTTAAAGTCTTTTTTAACCTATGTTAAAATGGATACAGATGCAACTTTCTAGACTTCAGGTTTATGGGCCACAGGAGAGATACTAAATGCTCTTGATTTTTTTTTGTTCAAATTCCTTTTGTATCTTGGAATAAACTGAACTAATGTATTATTGATTAAATTTATAACGTGGATCATCAATCATTGGCTTAATGAAATTAAGAAGCTATCAAGTGTTCAATATTTTGTTGTTGGCATGGGGACAGGAATGGATTTTGGAATTCTTGTTGGCAACTTAAGATTATGGTTCTTCATTATAAAACTGATTTGTTTGGGATCTCCTTTTTTGTCACATTTTATTTATGTTTGTTACGGATGAAAACTCACGTACTTTATTTTACTGAAGTAGATTGAGAAATGCCATTGAATCAGAACATTGAACACATTGAAATTTTACAAATTTTAACTCATTTTAGTTGCTTGTGTATCAGCAGATGAGCAGGTGCCTGTACATCGTTTTAGATATATATTAAAAATACTATATTTCTATATTGTCTTAATGGCACATGCAAGTTTTATTAACTTCCTGTACATTCTCCAATGATGTAATTATATAACAGAATACCCGTGAGACAGCTCATGCCATTAGAAAGCTGCCTTTGTCAAAGGCCAAAAGATACCTTGAAGATGTAATTGCTCACAAGCAGGCTATTCCCTTCCGAAGGTTTTGTGGTGGTGTAGGACGCACAGCTCAAGCGAAGGGCCGGCACCCAAATGGGCAGGGCCGGTGGCCTCTGAAATCAGCCAGATTCATATTGGATCTGCTTAAGAATGCTGAAAGCAACGCTGAAGTATGAACATACTTGACCAATTATTTTCCATCTTTGGTGCTTTGTTTCTATCGCTAAATTGCTCAATTTCTCTTATTTAGGTGAAAGGTTTGGATGTTGATGCACTCTTCATATCACACATCCAAGTGAACCAAGCGCAAAGGCAGAGGCGCAGGACTTACCGTGCTCATGGGCGAATCAACCGTAAGATCACTTATTGAGCTAATTTTTCAGGTTCTTTTTGGTTCAGAAATGATTCATTGTGTTACATGTTGGCAGCTTATATGTCCTCCCCCTGTCATATTGAACTGATTTTGTCAGAAAAGGAAGAGCCCGTTAAGAAAGAGGTAATTTCTTGGGCTATTTTGTTAACTTCAAAAATGGAACATCTGTTTTGTACTTTTTTTTGCTGCTTTTCTACCTATGTTAGAGTGGCTTAGGCTTTGTTTAGAGTTGCCACACTAGTTTGGATTTTTAGGACCTTTCATCTCATCATTACTTATTTTTTACTCGTCTCTCTCTCTCTCTCTCTCCCTCTCCCTCTCCCCCTCCCCCTCTCCCTTCCTCCCTCTCTTTCCCCTTGTTTCTCTGTTGCTGATGCAGTTCTTTTGCCACAACTGCCTTCTTTTGTTGATATTTTGCTGTTTGGATTCTTCCTATGCTGTTAATGCCATTGCTGTGAGCGACAGATTGCACTATTGTGGCCATTGTCTGGTGATTCTGCTTTACACTCTCTCTTTTGCTTGCGCTGCATTCTTCTTCTAGCTCTGGTGTTGCCATCTTGGTGCCTGCTTCTCCCCTTGTTTCTCGACTAACTCGCTCTGCATTCTTCTTCTAGCTCTGGTGTTGCCACCTTGGTGTCTGCTTCTCCCCTTGTTTCTTGACTAACTTGAACCTTTTCTTGCTTTGTCATGGCTTGTTCTTGCTGTTGCCACCTCCTACTCTTTCATCTTTAAAGTTTCATGCATGTCCATGAATGGCTCCTCTCTCATGCCTGAGGTCCAACATGGTGGTCACCTCCTTGCACATCGTGACCTAGATTTCGTTATACTTGTTTGTCATCTGTGATCATGGCATGCATGACATTTTGTTTGCTTTCTGATTCTATGTTATTACATTGCAGCCGGAGACCCAGATTGCTCCCAGTAAGCCCAAGAAAGCTCAAGCAATTAGAAGTGGGGCTTCTTCTTAGGCGGCAGCAGTAGTTGCATTTTTCAAGAAGATATCCACCCCTTTCTAATTAGCAGGTTTCATTGTGGTATCAAACATATCTTCATGAGCTCTATGCACTTTATAAACTCTATTACAGTTGCTTTATTTAATGGAGTTCTGAAGGATTTGATGGACCCAACACCACTGTGCGCTAAGTTACAGGTGAAGAATTACGCTTTACATACTGGATTGAAAAGGTATTTGTGAGACTCCTAGATTATACAGAATATTTTATCATTAGCTCTAGTAGTTGGACCTGAGGATGACCTACCCTTAGAGGCCATAGAAACCACAATTTGTTAGCAATCTGAATATAACAAGACTGATTGGGGATTGTAGCAAAATGATAACCCACGTTTCATTCTACAAGCCAAGAAATACTATAGCATAGCAATCTTTCCCAACCACCTGATCATATCTGAGGATGTATCATGTCATTAGATGAGAGAATGGAGATGATTCCCATGTCTAAAGCAAGTCATCCTTCACCATTGGCTGTGATATTGAAATGAGTGCAAGGTTAAACTGCAAAAGATTTCTTTTTCTTTAGATTCTCCAGTTATATATAATGGTTAGATGCAAAGAAATCAATATGAAGAAAAAGTAGTTGTTGTGCCTGACTAGTTAGCAGGTGTAATATCACTGGGGAATTCCATCGGACGGCCATAGTGATTGTGATATTTTTCCTATGTGTTGCAATCAAAGAAAGGGTTAAATCTTTTGGATTAGTATATCAATGTTGTACATTATGTGAATATTGTTATCTTCTTGTTTGTACTCTTTTGGGAGAGTGCTCTGTTTGTTACCTCTCATGAATGATAGCCTTTTCTGAAAGGTCTCAAATCCCACTCCCTTAATCCAGAAATTGCTTTAAGATTTGACTCGCATGGCAGCTCTAATTTGTGTGTTGGATATTGCAAGCTATGATGTGGAGGAGACTGTCTTAAGCACGTAATCTCTGCACCTTAATTTTTGGAGAAGAGGATTCGCAGATTCCCAAGCGGATCAGAAGGACAGGGGAACAAGAAAGGCTTTTCGTAGATCCTTGCGATCATGCGATCCTTCATCCGAACAGGGTTTGATCTCAATAGATTTTTATCTACCTTAATTTTGTCTCATATAGGAGTTAGGGCTTCAGTTATTCTGTAAGAGTTCTATATCATCATTAATCTTAGTTTAAGCATTTTGGAGCCAGTGAGTGATCCGTAGATCTATTCAATTAAAGTCGATTATGATCGGATCATGATATAAAATATTAGAATTGATTTACTATTCAGCATCAGAAACATGGGGAAAGAAAAAACAATCATTTGATTGGGTTTCATTCTATATTAGGTTTTAACTTGTAGAGTTAATGGTTATACACTAGAAAACTCTCGATGCAGAGGTCACTCTCACCCAACTCGTACGTATTCGTGAGCTGATGACCCACATCTGGTGAGCAGGAGCATACCAACATGGAAGAAACAAGGTCGAATAATGGAGATCATACCATCTGCAATCTAATAAGCCATTCTACAGCACTCGAAGCATCAAATCCTGTACATGTCTCGAGAGATCTACTTGCTTGTCCCCCTTCCTACCGTCGTCTTCTTCTTCGACGCTTCAATCTTCACCTTTTCTCCGGTTTCACTGTGCATCCGATCGACATCAGCCACCACTGTTGCTTGTTGTGACATGACCTCCTCCTCCTCCTCCTACCATCCACAGACGGGGAGAGGTAGGTCGGTCCTGTGACCGCCACAGTTGCAGCAGCAGCAGTAGGAACCTTGTCATCGTCAGCGAGGCATGCACAAGCTCGATGCGCTTCTCATCACATTACCAAACCCTAACTCCTCCATGAGATGCGTTCCACCTTCGCTTTCAGCCCTATCAGCATGAGCGATGCTTGCAGACAACGCTTTGCCATTTCCCCAAGCCACCAACGCAATCTTTTGCTGAACTCGAGCCCTCACTGGCTAACTCGAGCAAATATTCTAGTCCTGCAACAGTGGCCTGTCCCTCTCGTGAGAATGATTGGTGACAGCCATTCGAGAGCTCCTTGGCGTGGATGATCGCCCAGGGTTAAAAGATCAAAAGGTTCGCAGGGTAATTTGCAGATGCCATGTGTTATCATGCAACATCTCCGCAGTATTTTAGTGGCCGTGGACGAGAATGATGATGCCACTTCTCCGACAGCTTCTCCATTTTTCTTTGTCTAAGCATCTCCCAAGATCATTCATAACCTACAGCGAGCAAACCATGGTGGACATGGACGATCTTCCATTAAGATCATTCATTTTATGTGAACCTTGGACCTCCATCAACTTCTCTATCAGATGGATAAGGGAGCATCCTTGGCAGCTCACCTACCGACTCCAAGCTTTTCAGGAATCGACATCCGTTGCTTGCTGAATGCTGTCGTTGTAGATTCCATCAAGTAAAGGAATTGCGTGTAATATATATATCTCTCAGTAGGGTGAGATGGATGGAATCTGTAGGGGTGAAAAACCCACTCATCCTCGGGAGCTTGTCGCCATCTTCAGCTGTGATCAAAATATCTGCTTTTGGATCTCCCCTCAGAAAGAGCAAGTAGATCCCAATTAATACAGTCTTAGTAGTCGTGGATCTTTCTCACGCTGATAGGAAAACTTGGTGTTCTTTCCACGTGAACGACGGGACCCCGATGAGAATTAAAATGGTTCTTTTTGTCCCACAGTAAATATGCTGCTGCAATTAATCAATGCAAATGATTTGCTCTGCTGATGGAGACAAAGACAGTGACGAGTCTGTCATCTACTTGTGATGAGCAGAGCAAATGGCACAAGCGGAGTGGTCCATCAGGAATCCTATCATGATCGGCCATCCACCGCAGCGTACCACCTCCGACCACTGTTCATGCAGATGATGATGATGATGCTGATGCTGTCACAGAATGATTGAGCTGATTATGACTGGGGGAGCCGGCGACGACGTGGCGGTCGAGTAGCACGTGGCGGAGGGAGAGAGGGTTGGCCCGAAAGGGACCCACGGCGGGGGGGGGGGTGCGCGCAAGCATTCCATGCAATGCAAGTGTGTTCCACCATCTGCAATTGCTGGAAGAAAGGGAGTATGGAGCCGTCACTCCATGGACAAGCGTAAGCTTCATGAGCAGCTACCTGTCTGAATGGAGAAGAGCCTCAAGGACCCAATCATGGAGCTTAATAATTGCAGCCGGTTTCCTTTTCCAGATATGCTTCCTTAGCACTGTGCTCTCCCCCATCCACACCCAAACTCGTGGCGAGCTGCGCTGCAACTCATCGACGGAGGCTTGACGAGGAGGACAAAGCGGACATCTGGTCAGGAACGAAGCTGCTGAATCTAATGCTTGCCATTAGCCAATCATAAATCATAATTTCAGATTAATCATGGCATTTCTTATCCAAAGAAGTAGGGTTCATCTCGTCTCTTGCTTCTGTAATTACGCGTCGAATCTAACTTAAATTATTGGTTGATGCAATGTCACAATGACAGATGATCGATCACATGACAACTCTTTGTGTTTGCAAGGGACAAACTCTAACAAGCACACCCTAATTTGGATGCTACTGGCGGAGAATTATGTCCACCTACAACTTGGACCAGCCTAAGATATGGCTGCTATTCCAGCTTGGATCATATGTCCAGACTCATTATTATTGCTTTTCTTCTTCTTCAGTTTGGTCCCAAAAGAGACATGTTTCTGCAATCAAACAGTGAATGTGGTGATGAGCCTACGAGTAATCAGATCCCATGAACCCACACTACAAATTAGTGCAGTGTACTTGTGGCATTTCCTTGGAGCTCCATGGTGTGATGTCTCCTTTGCCTGATCATGGTGGTGCCAAGATCACTATCTACAGAAATCAATGCCTCACATTAGCTCAGGAAGTACCCAACAGGACTATATTTTAGGGCATCGAAGAGCTTTGAAATCCAAGACACTTAAACAATTGGTTTCCTCATTTCAATATTTAATTTCTCCTCCGTTTAGGATTCTTCTGCTGCTGTTCTACAGTTCCCAAGTGTGTTGATGTACTATTAAAGAGGGAGAGAACAAATATTCTAAAAATTAACAAATAAAATATATCTGATGTAAAATTTAATATAGCTCGACAACTCCGATCTGTATTCACGAAAAAAAAAAATCAAAATCTTCTCACCTTCCCACCAAGTGGTATAAAGATCATATAATTATAGATTCAACAAGGATGAGCGATACAGATTGAAATAAGTGTGAATCAAAAAATATTTATTTTACAGGAGACACAAAATAGATAAAATACTACTCACTGGTTAAGATATTATTAAGATTGATAATTATTTTGGAAATACTGGAGTAGGAGAAGTAGTTCTAAGTAAGGTAGGGTCTAAATATCTCATAAATCTGTAGGTTTCAAATGGGAAAGAACAAATGAATACTTTGCGTGTTGTTCTCTAGAATAGAATATATAGAGAGGGGATTTGTAAACAGGATAGAAAAAAAGAGTTTAGATTTCTCATAGATTAATTTTAATTAATTTTCATAAATATAAATGAGAGTTGCCGAACCTCTCTGCGTCAACTTTCTGATATATTATATTTGTTAATCATCATGTAAGGTGGAAGAGAGCAAATGATTCGACCCCAACGCACGCGTCGCCATGCATAATTATGCTTGATGATGCCCTCTCGGCCAATTGCCACACCTCATGCCAACATGTCATCGTCATCGGAATTATTTCTCGTACGTTACAACCTTAATGCATTAAAATCGTTGTGCATTGAAGCGTGGAGCAGATGGAGATTACTTGTTACTGCGGTCTTCTCTGGTTCAGAGGAACAAGCATCAGTGCCCTGACATCTTGTCAGCGATGGCGATGGCGATGGCGATGGCGACGTCGGTACACGCTTCTCCTGCAGTTGATAGACTCACAATCCAACTTTAATGCGCCATCTTCGGTATATAAACCCTCCAGCCTTGCTACTCTCAAGAATTCAAGCTCTCGCAACAGATCTAGAGAGAGAGAGGGACTCGAAGACTGTTCATCCAATCAAGGAAGCATATCCAAGGCGTATGGATAGAATGGGGTTGAGAGAAATAGAATCCACACTGCCGCCGGGGTTCAGGTTCTACCCAAGCGACGAGGAGCTGGTCTGCCACTATCTCTACAAGAAGGTGACCAGCGAACGGTGCTCGGAGGGGACGATGGTAGAGGTTGATCTGCACACTAGTGAGCCGTGGGAGCTTCCAGGTGAGTTCTCAGTTTATGTTCCATTTAAGCTCCCAAGTAATTACTTCATGAATGTGCCGACTGGCTTAGCCGATAGAAACCTAAACAGATCATCGCAAAGTCCCGTTTTTGCCACTTATCCTTTGCATCAAACATAAAAAACTATTAATTCATCCCTTTTTTTTTTTTTTTTCCTCTTTTGGTTCTTCGGAAGCTTACAATTCGATCCTGAGCTGCTCTACCAGCCTCTTTTCTTCTCTTTCTGTGAAAGATACTTCCACTTTGTGCTCACTTTTCCCACCGTGCTACTGATAATTTGACCAAACACAGCTTGTTGAACTCTTTTTGATGTGATTGTGAGACCTCTTTTCCCAGATTAGAATCATAAAAGACTCTAATTAATCTAAAAGCCACAACAAATTTGCGGCTGAAGTAGTAATCAGATGAAACCCTTTGCGAGTATATGCCATGCTATGCAACCATAGGAATTTGCATGAGGTCTACGGTTGTATTGCGCTAATCTGTCTTCTTGGATGGATGATAGATGTGGCTAAACTGAGTGCCAACGAGTGGTACTTCTTCAGCTTCCGCGACCGCAAATACGCCACCGGATCGCGCACCAACCGAGCAACCAAATCGGGATACTGGAAAGCTACCGGGAAGGATAGAATAATCTGTGATCCAAGAACACACGCAAGGGTTGGGATGAGGAAGACATTGGTGTTCTACGGAGGCAGAGCTCCGAATGGAGCAAAGACTGGCTGGGTAATGCATGAGTTCCGACTGGAGACCCCCCACTCACCTCCCAGGGTATCGTGCATAGTTACTATCTGATCGTAGGATCATGCAATCTTTGCTTTGGTCGTCTTCTCTTCCACATCCTTGTTGCAACACTACCTGACAAGAACTTACATCACGAGCACAATCTTTTTCTGTTTCCGAAATGGGTTTTATCTTTCAGAATTGCTTGATGAGATTGCTGGCCGTAGAGCTGATGTAAGTACTATATGGTGAAGCGAATGCAATTGTCGACTGGAAAGTCAAATGATAAGAATCTATTATAGTGATAAATAGTAGTAAGATAATGAGAAGATCACATCGTAGAGATAAGAGATGCTGCAAAAAGACATGCCTATATTCACAAACTGAATGGCCTGTTTGGACTATTCAGGTGAAAACAATTGATGCCAAAACGTACTATTAACTCCGAGAATTCATAATGGACATATATGTGTGTGATTGATTATCTTATGATGCATGGAATGTTTTACTGCGTTAAGATCTCATTTTGGTGCGCTATGTTATCTGCAGGAGGACTGGGTTCTTTGTAGAGTGTTTCACAAGAGGAAAGGGGAGTCGGATCATGACAAGACTGCTTCTTCTTCTCCCACTCGGATGTCATCTGCTTGTGTCGTGGACCAGCCCATGCCAGATGTGTGCCATGACCAGCTTGGCTCATCCTTCCCTGCTCTCCTGCAGCAGGAGGACAACAGCTCAGACCCCTTCCTGATGAACATGGCACTGCTGCAGCGCAACCTTCTTGACTTCCCACAGGAGATGGGAAGCGCACCCGCCGGTATGGTGGGGATGAGCTCGAGGTGTGAGGATGAGCTGGGATTCCTGTTGGACTTGGGGTTTGAGCACAGCTTTGGGGAGGCAGGAATGGTGAGGTACGAGCTACCGAGGTGGCAAGGATAGTTACACTCTACCTGTGGTGGACAAGTGGGGATTGATGTGGGAGTTGCATGCTTCCAACAGTAGACATGAATGTTGATTTCGACTGGAAGAGAGCGATTGAAATAGATCTGTACAGATGTTAAGTAGTTGGAGTACATGTTTATAGTTGTTAATAATCTTCACAAAAGCAAGAAGAAGATAGACATTTCTATAGGGGATTTTATTGATCTTGGAAAAGCTTCGATCGGAAGGAGCTTTACAGCTCCTTTAACCTAACATTAACTGATCTCTTCTCTTGGGTTTTGGTGACTGAGACACCTGTGGAAGTGAATTCAAGATGAAGAGAAGGATGGCTTGCATGCGTGTCGGTGTGTGCAGGGAGGGTTTGCACGTTCAATCCATGCACGCAGGAAACATGCAATGTGCTTCATTACCTTCATTACAATCGATGTTGGACTTCGCTACTGCTCTCTCTCTCTCTCTCTCTTTGTCTCTCTTGAGCTACCTTCAATCCGTAGCAGCCTCCCTTCTTGAAAGGACCAGCCTGTCCCCTCGACATAATCACATGTTATGGAGTCCATCATCTTCCTCAATCAAAGATAAATGCGAAGAATGACTCGAACAAGTAGAAACCCTTGGAAGGCAAAAAGTACTAATAATAATACGACAGAGATTGCCGATATTGTCGTTCATCTTGTAAAGATTGATATCAAGAACAACATATCGAAAGATCATGGAGATTGGGCATGAATAAATCATTTATCATTCAAAATTTCTTCTCCTCTGATAGGATATGCTTTATTTCCTCCCTCAATTATCTGTTTTTGATCCACTGCGAATCTCTCTATTTTCTTCTTGTTTTATATGGTTCGACTCTTTATCAAAATAAAAATAGATATGGAATAAGTAGGATAGAAAAATATGCAGAGGTTATAATTTCTCAATATAATCGAACTACATAAAGAGGAAGAATCCTATCAGGAATTTGACTTCACGTAATTTAAGATTGCCCTTTTTTGACTTGTTCCATGAGGTCAATCTTTTGGCTCTTCCGTGATCTTCGTGAGGTTAATTAATTGTCTACTAATTTCTCTCTCTCTCGATCGAATTCAAGGCACAATCGAACTGCTAGTTTTTCGTCGTCTCTCTTTCCTTGTCAAAGATGGTGTGGTGTGAAGCACTAAGAATTTATTGTGTCGACAACGACGCAATAGTTTGTGGCTGACTTTGGACGATGCAAGCTTTGAAATGGTCAAATATATTTACTTGGATTTGACGTCTTCACGTACGAATCTTGTCGTGATGATGCGGTTGCTCGTGTCCTGCACGTGGCATGTGCACGTGCGGAGCAGCTGGCGACATTTTATCTATCTATTGTTTTATTTTTTTCAATTAATCGATTTTCTATTTGACTAATATTTTGACTGACATGAAATATTAATTTGATTGTGATGTATCGTATTCACATATCAAATTTGATGGTCTGAAATTTTATCTTATATATTTTTGAACCGAATTTTTTTCTAAAATTGATTCGATTATGATCGATTCATTCGATTAATCGAATCGAACTAATTTTACAAAATTCCTTATGTACTTGGGTTTTATATGGGTCTAATTTTATAAATCTTATTGTATCGATCCAATTAGATGAAAATTTTGATTTGATTTATAATTATATAAGATAAAATTAAATCAATTCATTTAAAAATATATATAATTTTAAATTATTTATAATTATAAATCGATTAATCGAACCGAACTAATCAATTTTGAATCGATTTGGTTAGATAAATTCGAATCAGATCAGATTCAGAATTATCCTAATCTTAACCTAATCAACATAGGACACAGCCACGTATTGTCGTCGTCCCCGAGACGCAAGCAGAAGACAACATCAAGATTGCAACCATGCATGCACTCAAGCATGTGAAACACACTTTTGGCTCCTCGGACCCATTCCCCATCTCCGCTGCATACAATTCCTCCACCGGCCTCGTCCGCGTCGTCGTCGTCGTGTTTCTTGATCTCGAGAAGAGTTCCCATTTGTAGTCCATCCATGAAAGCCACACGCTTTCTCCGTCTTCTAAAAGGTATGGTGTCTCTCGACTTTTGTCGCTTTTCTTATGATGCAAAAGAAGCCATTGGTCGAACAGTAGAAATAACATCATTCAATCTAATATACACACACACACACAAAAACATCTAAAATGAGATAGAAAGCAAAGCATTTATGTTGCCATCAAAATGCCGGCAAATAAAGAACAAAGCCATCAAAAACATCGTACCTTATTTGCAGCATGAAACAAACCAGTCCTTGCAACATCATGGTCAAATCTTGCGGCCTGTCCAAAGCAGAAGTCTCCATTTGCTGCATGGCTGCTGCAGATGTTAGATCAGGGTGATTGTTCTCAAGTCTAAGCAAGCCTGCCAAACCACAACAAACAAGAGACAAAAGAAGATCGAAGGAAATGCAAGTTAGTAGGTAAACAAGTGTGAGGACTCGATGGAAATGGATTATGCAGCTACAACGATCAATTGAAACCAACAGTCACTGTTGGATCATTTCCATATGTATCTTTTTGCAATACCTGGAAGAATTGAAATGATCTTAACTCTTTCCAAATAGCACTTGCTCAAGTTTCTTTTTTTTTTTCCTTTCTTTCTTTTTGAAACAAAAACCTTCAACTCAGTTGATAGGACTTCAAATGTCCCCAAAAGTACAGGAATCGCATCCGATACTGGAGAACAAAAAAATCCTAGTCGGATTGACAATCTGTTTGCATGCTCAAAACTCAAAACACTAACTTCCTCAGCATGTTTGGGAACATCATTACAGATATTTCACAAATGCCAAGATATGAATCTAATTCTATTACAAATAAGTATGGCTTTCGGTGAGTCCGAGTTAACAATGATATCATGTAACTTCAACTGAGAGGCTTTTGGTAAATCATCCCTTATCGCTCGGCATTCTGCCTGCAGAGGACCAGAAGCTAGATTAACATTTCTGCTGATCAAAGAAGCAGTAGCCGGTACCTGCACAATCATCAGTGTTAAAAGATCCATCACATAGAAGTGTAAAAGAGTAAGAGCCTCTACTCTGTTCCAAAAGGTCATACCCTTGGAGTAAAAGATCCATCAGCAATGCTCAAGTTAATAGGAAGTACTCTCATCATCCCCTTGGAGTATCCAATAATACATCATAATCAATTAAGCTCAATACTGTTGACATCGATCTACTTAAACAGATTTAATTTATGCGTAAATTTAAATTGAGACTTTGCTATTTCTTTCTCTTCTTCCTTCCGTTGTCCTGCTTCTCCTCCTACCACTACAGCACTGTTTTTACTCTGCTACCATCGCTCCTCCTCTCTGGTATAGCTTGATCATCGATCGGTATCTGTATTAGATTAAGAATTTAATCCTTGTCTCATACGACTAAAAATATATTTCCAAGAAAACGTTATTTCCACAGATAGATGAGATCTATGTCACTGAGTGATAAAAAAAATTACACTAAAATAAAGACATTAAAGAACTTACTGAGGTCAAGCAAAATTGTTAGATATGCTTGGTTTCCCATGGCCAAACAGGATTTCTCTTGGATGAAGAAAATTAATATCATTCAAATTTACAATATTATGAGAATGAATCATTACCAAGGAAATAACATGAGCAATCTAATAAAAAATACTCTCGTCCGACACATTACATAATCTGTTTCCCTTGGCCAAACAGGATTTCTCTTGGCTAATTAAGTCTGTGGAATCAGTATGGGTCACACATATATTCAGAATTAAGATTCTGGACATCAAATTTTTCCAGATGAATCTATGCCACAGCATACTGCTAGCCTGAAAAATCTCAGATTTACAAAATCCACATAGCAAATCCTAATCTCATAGGCACAAATCTACAAGTATAAAAATGTAAATTAGGGACAAAAGCTCTTGAATATGCCTTGGCTTCTCAGCCTATCAAGAGTCTCACTATCCTTCTTAGATTTCAATCACAAATTTGAAAATCAACAAAACTAAAAAAACCTTAAATCCAATTTAAGTCAGTTTTATTAGATTTAACTCCTAAATTTCAGTGTAACATATTATTGACTTAAAATCAGCTTGCGAGCCTCTCTAGGCAAAGTGAAACTATAAATTTCATGAATTGTCACAATTGAAGTTAAGCTCTACTCCACTACCACAACAACAATAAAAACCAATGGTCAGCTACGTGGATCTTTTGAGCTCCATGTAATGTGATATCTCTAGTTAAATCAAAAGTATTTGAAACTTTTTTTTTAAATTTTTGCAGTAAATTCTTCTTAGACTCTACCTACCTCTTCACACGCCATTCATCTCGTCAACTCACATAAACATCACTTTTAAACAAGCACATAAACATCACTTTTAAACATGCCCAGACAATATATAGATTTTGCATCAATTTATCTTCCATCAGGCTATAGATTTCATTGTTCCTGAATTGAAACATTGCTTATTTTACTTTTCTAATAACTCTACACAACACCTTTCTTTTTCCAAAATTAAATGGCTATATATTAAGTGAAAGAGCGAATACAACCAGTGCTGGACGCATCAGCACTCAGAAAACCCGCAAGAGGATCCGGCCAGTGGCCTCACCACAAAAAAAGTGTTATTAGTTGACCGAGCCTAGCCGGCCAACCAATCAGCACATCTATTTCCTTCCCAATACACATGAACAACAACAATGCTCTGGAAGGAAACCATACATTTCACACTAAATTGATTAAGTTCCAAGGAGGATCAGATTCCTTGTTCAGGATTTTGATGACCTCCATGGAGTCAGATTCAATGATAATCCATTGCATACCATCAGCAGCAGTCAATCAAAGTCCTTGAAGCACCACGAACATCTCCATATATAGAATGCCCTTGTCCATCAAAAAGCTGCGACCTGCAAACAAACAAGAATCCGCATCATCCTTAACAAAAACCAGCACCCCATAGATCAGAATCTGCACAAAAAGCACCATCCACATTCAACTTAAACCATCCCACCTCCAGGCTCCGGCAACCTCCAGACCACAAGAATGTGGGAAGAAGGGGCAGGGGGACCCTCAGGAGGACTTTGGACAGGATCGACAGCAATACAAGCCACCACCTTACAGAAAATACTTTAAGAGGTTGTTGTTTTACCATTGAAAATGACATCATTCCGAGCCTTCCAGATCATCCAGAAGGCATATGCAATAATGGCTTTAAGGGTTAAACAAGATTGTTTACCCAACTCATCACCTTCCCTTTACCATGCACCAGTATGCCACATATCATAAAATCTGAAGGAGATATCTAGCTTCTGTTTAATGATATAAAAGACAGCGTGTGAAAAGGAGCATCCAAAAAACAAGTGGGATAAACTGTCTTCATGAAAACCACACATAAAGCAGGAATTAGCTCCCATTATACCAAAATTCGCTATGTAATGAGAAGTCGCTAATCGACCATGCAGTAATTTTCAACAAACTAACATAGTACGAGGAACAGCAGGAATTCTCCAAAGACTAGACCACACATTAGATTGTACATGATCCGCAGCACAGTGAGATGATAGAAAGCCATATGTAGCCTTGGTTGATGGTTGCCCCTTTGAGTCAAGGGTCCAAATCCAAGAATCGTCATTGGGGACACATGATAAATCCACTTTTAAAACCATATCGACAAGCAGGGATCCGAAAAACAAATCCAGTTTAGCAACATCCCAATTCTGATCAGAAATCAAAGTAGAAATGGTAGAAGCCTTATGCACATAATCCATATTTACATAAGTAGGTATATAAGAAATCAGCATATCAAAAAGCCAACTGTGGTCAAAAGTGTGAACCAAACAACCATTACCAATTAAACATGAAAATGCCAAATGCAAATCCCACATAGAATGCATAAACAAACGCCAAGACCAGCTAGCATTAACAAAAGAGCCTTTCTGCCAAGGATAAACCTCTCCATATTTAGCATAAACAACTTTGCACCAAATACTGTCAGTTTTGTTTAGATAATTATATATTCTCTTAATTTGCAATGCAGTAAAAGTAAACACCAAATGTTGAATTCCAAGACCACCCTTATCCTTAGCTGCAGTGATGGTATCCCAAGAGAGGAGGTGAAGACCCCTGGTAGAGGAGTTCTTCTGCCATAAGAAGTTCCAAACCATTCTATTGATATTGTTCAGAAAATGAACCGGCATCCAAGAAACAGACAACATATGGACAGGGGAGGCCATCAAAACCGATTTAATATAAGTAATGAGACCAGCTTGCGATAAAAAATTTGCTTGCCAAGAGCTTAACTTCTATTGAATTTCATGCAAATGGTTATCAAAAGCATAAACCGGTAAACGACACAAAGAAATCATATAGAGGCTTTAGTAGATTGGTTGTTATCACAAGGGAAGAAAATTTCAGATTTTACCAGATTCATTCGTTGGTTAGTGAGGATCTCATACATACGAAAGATATCGACACTAGTTTTGCAAGACTTCTTGTTAGCTCTAAAACATAAACAAAATATCATCCGCATACATCATATGAGTGAGCTTATATTTGTGTTTAAAATGAAAGGGTGTGAACCTCCCTTCTTGAGTAACACTATTTAATAGATGTCACGAACTTAGCTAATTTTGCCTAAGTCGTGCAGCACCCTTGCGTGTTCGTTCGCAAAGATCAACTTCCCCAATATCTCCTATGGTCCCTTAGGACCTACAAAAGAGAAAACGGGTTTGAGAAAGTGTTTCACTCAGGATCTACAAGCAACTATTTCAGTAAACACTTCATAGCCAATACAAATTACAAACATAGACTTCACAAGCTCTGAACAATCACATAACAAAAGGTCCAAAATGGTCCACTACAAATCGAAATACCCACAAGTGCCCACATGACACAACCTTTGTTTACTAGCCTAAAGCGACTACTAAAGCCAACCAAAATAGGGTTGCTAAGCCTACTGTTAGCCTTTTACATGCTGTGCAAATCATGAACAAAACCGAAAGACACGGACATACATGAGCATTACATCAAACACCTCGTTTACAATTTTGTCTGTGACATTCTCCCCCACTTATTCCTTCGACGTCCTCGTTGAAGCCTTTGCAGATGCTACATCTCCTTGCCTTTGCTGAGCCTTGAATCTTCTGCTCCAAATGCAATGTGCCTCTTGGCTCCCAATTGCACTCCACCGCTGTTGTTGAGTAGTCAAACTTTGATCTACCATACTACTTCAACACGCTAATGACTCTGACTCTGGTCTGGGGTCGACTGAGTTGTGCTGATCCCTGTTAGTTCGTACGGATCCCTCAGATGAAGGAAAAGATCATCCTTGCTATGCACTAGTCTCTCAAATGCCTCATGCCGCTTGAACTGGATGGATGCGTGTTAGAGCTTTAACAAGCATCGCCTCGCAGACTTTAAAGTTTTTGGGTCCTTCCTCCGCAAAATTTGCCTATCGATTCTTCTTCCACTTAGTTGTCATTTCCAAGTAGGATCACATCACTTCTGCTTTCGATTAACATTCTGTTAGGAAATGAAGCGGACAATCTACACTCAGCAGCACCGATCACCATTGATGAGGATTTGACAACCAATGTCTTCCCTTAGGTTTCTTCAAAGGGTCTTTGAAGCTATGCAGAGCTCCTCTGCTGGATAGATAAGAGAATTTGGGTACTCGGTTTCGCCTATTCTCTTAAGAGTTGAGAAAGCAAAGGTTACTTGACTTCGCTTGCCTCCTCGAGGGTTGTACTCTATGCATCGAGCTGGTTATTAGCCTTCACCCGCTTTGCTCATACTTCCAAAGCACTTGAAGTGTTTGCACTCCTTGCGTTGAGTTAGCTACTGTGATTCACCTTCTCAATGCCATTGAACTTCTAGAATGTAAGAAGTTTTCACCCCAACTTGGAACAAGAATCTAATAGTTTTGGCCGCCTTTGGGATTGTACCATCTTCTCTATCATCTCTGCTGCCTATTCCTCTTAGTAGCAAAGGTACAGCACCACATACTGCCTACTTCGTTCCTTGGTCGAGCACTCATGCATCGATCCGAAGTCCTCAACTTTTGGTTATCTTGATGAGAAACTCGTTGACACCAGTCTTACGAAGTTCCTTGGCCTCTGCCCTTCAGCCTTGTCTCAGTACTTAGAGTTTGCTTTTGCATTCTCTACCTCCTCAGCCCCTTTCATGACCAAGCGCTCTCCCTCCATGAGAGCAAGGGATCGATGATTCCACGAAAGTCCCACCTCTGCAGTACCATGGCGCTGTCATGCCCATGGCCCTACTATCTGTCAGCTCGTATCTGCGTCCCTTTCTTCGCGATCAGTAGATTCGCCTTCGCGGCACTGTGGCACTCCTCCGAGTTTACCTCTATTCTAACCGATACTTGGTTTTGGGTAGCTAAGTCCCTCTGGACTCGTCGTCACTTTCTCGCTCCTTTTGACCACCTACTTCAACACCTTTGTGTTCTCCGAGCAATTCCCCTTGGTCGATAGAAAGACAGACTGCAACTCTCATGCATAGCCTCTGCCATCATGTTACAAGGCTCGCACTGATTCTGTTCTCCTTAGCTTCCTTGGTAGCAACGTTCGCTTACTCGACCTTGTCCCCTGACTTGTCAGGCTCCCTTAAGCGAATATGAGCTCTGGAATAATCCAACTCTCCAACCGCTTCGATCATACTTCTGCATGATCAAGTCTCCCCATGGGACTCACTAGTACTTGCATTCGAAATTCTCCCTTGGCAATACATAACCCCCATATGCTGATGACTAAAGCTTTCATCCGATACAAAATTCAATGCACACACGGAAGACCCGCCTTTGCAGTACTATGACATTCACTCCTTAAATCCATAGCCTTTCTTGTTGTCGTGTTGTTCACCAGAGTGGAGCTCCCAATACCTCCCGATCATACCTCTGTATGATCTAGTCCCTTGCGGGACTAATTTCGTGTGTATCACATTACCATGAACTGTTCCACCACGATCCGCTATATCATGTCACCTCTTGGTGACATCTTCATTGCATTCTAATCATTGTGGGATGAACTTGGATTACGATCCCTCCATGTGTGGCCTCTGCCAGCACATCGTAAAGCCTCTTCCACCTTCAATTATATTCGCTCATTTGACAATCGACTTTCGTCCACTCGCTCTCGGGTCACACCTGAACGAAGCACAGCTCTAGAACAGTTCATCACCTAGCAACTCTGGAGTCCACTGACTTTGCTGAAATTAGTGCACCATTATTTGGATCTTGAGCCTCTACTCCGATCAACACAATCTCCACTATGCACCGCTTCCTTCATTGCAACTCGAATGACAACACTGTAGCGTATTCTTCAAGATTACCCACCTCCGCGTCCTCTTGCTCCGTGCCAAGGCCTTCTGACCCCAACTTCGCCTCTGCAAGTTGAGTCGCCTTCCTCCGTCAAATGCCTTAAAGCTCTCTTTGTCTTTGGCACCATGCAAGATAAGTCTACTCCATCAAAATGAGGGACCCATGGAACGACATTATCCCCCTCTTACCTCTGCAAGAGTTCATGTCCTTGACGTTTGTCTAAAGAAAGCTTCGTGCCTCCGCTCCATGTTCCATCTTTTATGTTGACTCCCTTCATACGGCTTAGGTACTTCACCAAGTTACACCCAAGTTGCTTCACTCCTTGATTTGCATTGAGTTAATGGTGGTCCTCGCGCCAACCATTCCACGGGTCAGCCCTTCGTTGAGTCTGATTTATATCGGCTCCAAGTGTGCCTTCATTTATGTCACCTTAGGTCGCTCCCTCACTTGATCTCGCAATGCATCCACCAATGCAGTACTTCATACGAGATCATATGACGACTCCTCATCGCTCGCTCGATTCGTTGAGCTTTATGGAGTTGTTGTCTTGAGGTACTCCTCAACATGTGTAGTCCATTGCATATAATTCTCCCTTTAGAAAACCGGGACTTATCCCTCCTAGATATCTGTCCCGTTGGGGTAACTTCGTCCTTCGGATCCTTCCCTCTAGAAGTTTTGGAGACCACCATCCCTTGGACTACTCCACCTTGCAGAACAAACTGTGCATTGTTCTACCCCTGCAAACCCACTTGCTAGATTGCGACTCCTCACCAATACAACCCTCGCTGCCCCCCCTCAAGGCCTAGCAACATGCTGAACTCGCTGTATACTTCAGCCTCCTATAGAAATATCATTCTCATGCCGAAGAGAAAGTTTCAATGCTCCACAATAGCGAGTTTCAGTCACCTTAGGATGGCCATGAACATTCTATCGTCCGCATATAAGCCCTTACATGAGTATTGAATTCTTCAAGTTAGCAATTTCCCTCACCTCTGTGAGCTTTACACAACTCTTTCGGTCGCTGAGCAACCCATTTCACTTTGCATGATCTTATCCTCTACCAAATGCCCCGCTTGTCTTGAGCACCGTCAAGTATGGTTGCCAACGTCGAGCCGTAGCTCGAACTCAGCCATCCCAACCTTTGTGCGCTACACATTCTTCCCAGCTTGCTTATCCTCGTGGTGCCTCTCGCGCGAAGGGTTGGCCATTTCTGTAAATGTCAATCTCACACGCCCGCTCCTTGAGCGACTCCTTTCCCTACATCTCCATGCTCGTTTCTCCCAAACGATCATGCGTGCTAGTTACCCTCAACACAACCCCGCTAGATCCCCCACGTTTGCATGCCAAGTGTTTCTAAGTGTGCTTGTCCCGCTCTTTGTCCCGCTCTGATACCATAATGTCACGAACTAAGCTAGTTTTGCCTAAGTCGTGTGGCACCCTTATGTGTCCATCTGCAAATGTCAGCCTCTCAAAAACCTCCTATGGTCTCTTAGGACCTACAAAAGAGAAAACGGGTTAGAAAAAACGTTTCACTCAGGATCCACAAGCAACCATTTCAGCAAACACTCATAGCCAATGTAAATTACAAACATAGACTTCACATGCTCTAAACGGTCGCACAACAAAGGGTCAAAAATGGTCCACTACAAACCGAAATGCCCATAAGTGTCCACATGACACAACCTTTGTTTACTAGCCTAAAACGACCACCAAAGCCAATCAAAATAAAGCTACTAAGCTTACTGTCAACCATTTACATACTGTGCAAAGCATGAACAAAATCGAAAGACAAGAATATATGTGAGCATTACATCAAACACTTCGTTTATAATTTTGTTCGTGATACAGATGGGACAACAATTGAACCACAAGTATATACAGGTAAGGTGAAAGAGGATCACCTTACCTAATACCTCGGGCCCCCTTGAAAGATTGTAAAGGGAACCCATTGACAAGAATAGCATACTCAGGCGAGGACATACAACTATAAATCCAAGAAATAAAAGTTTGAAGAAAATTAAAAACCTTTAAAGCCCGAACAATGGCATCCCAAAACAATCTATCATATGCCTCTTCAAGATCAACCTTAATAATGATTAAAGGATTCTTTCCTTTAGATTTAAAGGAAGGAATGTGCCACTTCCTAGGCTACTAGGATATTATCTTGAATGCTTCGCTAAGGAAGAAAAGCAGAATGCTCCATAGCAATAAGATTTGGCACAAAACCTTTAAACCCATTTGTAAGTACCATGGACAAAATACAATAAATAACATTACAAAGAGAAATTGACCGAAAATCTTTCACAAATAGGATTCGCATATTTAGGAATAAACATAATGTGTTTTTGAACCCAAGAAGAATGCAAGACAGAAGTATCATGAAAATGATTAAAGAAAATCCACAATGCACCAGAAATAGTATCCCAACAACCCCTATAAAATTTAACCGTAAGACCATCAAGACCATGACTCTTCCCATAGCCTATCGATCTAACAACCTATCAAATCTCATTTCTATCAAAGGCTTTAGTCAGAAAATGGTGATGTGAACTATCAATGCCCTAGATAACATGCCAAGAAATATCAATTCTAGGGATACCAGAGGGAGCATTCCAAAGATCTTAGTAGAAGTTCACAAAGCTAGCCATAATATCCTTGGGCTAGTCAAACACAGAGTCATTAACCTTAATGGACTAGATGTGGTTACTACGGGCACGAGCAGTGACCAAAGAGTAATAATACCTAGAATTACGATCGCCATCCGATACCCATTTGGTTTTGGAAAGAACCCACCATTTAAGGTTCAACAGAAGAATTATACCTTGAAAGCGGTTATGTAAGGAGATCAAATATCTGGTCTTCTCACCTAATAGACAAGACAAGGTTTCTTTTAGTTCTAGGGAAGAGATGACCTGTTGCAGCCAATCAACTTGTGCATTAGGGTTTCCAAATCTTGTCCAGTTCCACCTAGATAGGTCACACCTAAGCTTCCTAAGGTTATAAGAAAAGGAGGCAGAAAGCATAGTAGGGCAAATATAGAAGGACCAGCTATTCCTAACAACCTCATGGAAAACCTTATTTTCAATCCAAAAGTTCTGAAAATGAAACAAGTGTTTAGGATTCATGCGGGAATCCTTAACATGCAAAAGAATTAAATAGTAGTCCGAACAGACCCGAGTCATATGAGAAATCGAGGAATCACCAAACTTCTAAAGCTATCGAGAATTGGAAAAATCCCTATCCAGTCTAACCAAAACTTTGGCCAACCCTGCCGATTATTGGACCAGGTAAACCTCCGTCTAGAAAAGCCAAGATCCATCAAACCCAAATTATGAATAAAGTCACGAAAACACCGAATAACATAATTAACCGAGAAAACCAAACCCCCTTGCTTGTCGTGAGCATCAAGTAAGCAGTTGAAATCACTAATAAGACACCATGGGACATCGGATAAATCCACAGATGCTAGAGAATTCCAAAACACATTATGTAAAATCAAAATAACATTAGCATAGATGACCAAAATCAACCAAGGTGAACTATTTTTACGCTAAATCGCAGCATACATACATTAAGCATGAGACGATATCACCTAGACTTGTACCATAGTGGTGTGCCAAGCCGAAATGATACCCCTAGATGCCCCAGCCACTGACTGAGAAAAACTGTCCTGGCACTGCCCTAGAGAGCGAATGACAACCTTCGACCGCACCTCATCAGCATGAATTTCCTGCAGTAATATTAAATCAGGTGAGTCTAAAACCAGCAAAAATTCCAAAAAATCATAAACTGGGCAGCGCTTGGGCCCCGTACAGTTCCAAGTAAAAACTTTCATTAAGAAGAAGATGGGTGAGAGCCAAAACTACTCCCCTTAACAGGGTGCACAAACTCCACCAACTCAGTCGGCACATTACGTTGACAACGGACACAGGTGTTTATAGATTTGAAATGGGCAACCACGGCCTTAGCCCTAAGAGTCATTACAGTCTTGGGATGTTTCAGCACGGCAACTTCTTGCAGAAGAGTGTCATCCGGTGAGTCTTTGGGTTTCTCTAAAGGACCACCACCCTCCTCCATCCTCGACTCCGAGAGGCCCTAAAGGATGGGGCCAACCTTATTCGCCAAGGACAAGAGGAGGAGGGGGGGGAGCGTGGGGCGGGAGGGCTGATAGAACCCTTGCAGATTCTAAGCTTGGGGTTGATCTCTTTAGGGGATCAGCCTCCTTGGAACTCTATAGGGGTTCCTTCCTCCAAATTGCTGCTCAAAGGCTGCAGAAAAGATTCATCTATTGCTTGTTAAAAGATGATGAATACATGACTATTTATAAGGCTTCTAAACCCTAACTCCTAATATGACTCCTACTCAAGGCTCTTATTCCTTTACAACTCCTAATGCTTCTCTAAGAACAATTCCTAATAGGACTCCTGACCCTAGTTGGTCTCTTCACCTCTTTAATAGGAGTTTGCTAGATAGGTTAACATGAATGCCCCTCTCAATTAGAACTCTTCTAGCTAGAGTCCTAACGGACCTGCCCTCTTCAAATCAGCATTGTCCTCGAGGCTGGGATTCCATGAACTCAGGGAACCGGGTCTTCAGCTCCTCATATGATTCTCATGTGGCGTCTTCAAATGGTAAATTATTTCAATGCACTAGTACTTCAGTAGAGGGACGTCGGCGACGCATCACGATCCTGCGGTCGAGGATGGCTTGTGGTTGGGCTTGAATAACTCCATCCTCAATGGTTCTGGGCAGTTGGATTTGGGGTGACTCGTGTTCTCCGAACTTGGGCTTCAGGCATGACATGTGGAAAACAGGGTGAATTTTGGCATCCTTAGGCAATTTAAGAATGTACGCCATGACTCCAATACACTCTGTGATCTGATAGGGCCCATAAAAACGTGGGGATAGCTTCATGAAGGCTCAAGTGTTGATAGAGAGTTGCTTGTATGGCTGTAGGCAAAGATAAACCCAATCTCCTACTGAAAATTCTCTTTCGCTTCGTCGTGTATCGGCTTGCTGCTTCATTCTAGCTTGAAAGGTAGAGAGATTATCCTTTAACAGTTGTAGGAGTTTGTCCATGTCAATCAATTCTTGGTCGACCTGATCTACCTTGGCTGAGCCAATTACATACTTTGGAATCATAGGGGCCGACCATACAGTGCTTCATAAGGGGCACATTTGGTAGATGAATGATATGTAGTATTATACCACTATTCGGCCCAGGGAAGCCATTTCGCCCACTCCTTTGGCTGGTCGCTGGCGAAACACTGAAGGTATGTCTCTAAACACCTGTTTACCACCTCTATTTGGCCGTCAGTTTATGGATGATATGCTGTGCTCATCTTGAGTTTGGTGCCTTGTAACTGAAATAACTCTGTTCAAAATTTACTGGTGAAGATCCTGTCACGATCATTTACAATGGACCTTAGCATCCCATGCAGTTTAACAATATTTTCTATGAAAATCTGGGCATTACTAGAAGCAGTATAGGGATTTCGCACAGCACAAAAATAAGCACATTTCGTAAGTCGATCAACCACCACGAGAATTGTGCTTTTACCTTTGGAAGGTGGCAGCCCTTCGATGAAGTCTATGGAGATGTCAATCCACACCGAGTCTGGTATGGGTAGTGGTTGTAGCTTCCCTGGACTTGTCACTGTTTCACCCTTGTGCTGTTGACATACATTACATTGTGCCACATATTCAGCAATAATTTTTTTCATCCCTCTCCAATAAAAATTTTGCTTCACTCTTTTGTAGGTTCTTAGGAATCCAGAGTGCCCTGCTGAAGGTGTGGAGTGTATTTCATGCATGATGATTTTGATGCAAGGGGAGTCAGGTATAAGCACAATGCGACCTTTGTAGCATAGATCCTCGAATCCCAAGTGTAGTGGGCTATTGCACTTGGATCCTCTAATTTTTTTATGATGTTGCTGATCTTTGGATCCTTCTTCCTTTCTTCCCTAATGTCCTTGAGGAAGTTGGTGGTAGGAAGGGAGATGGCTAAAAACTTAGCTTGCTCAGGTAGCCATGAGTGTGCATCTGCAACAACGTTTTCTTTCTCATTTTTGTAAATAATTTCATAATCAAATCCAAGAAGTTTGGTTACCTATTTTTGCTGCTTAAGGAATGATATCTTTTGCTCCAAAAAGTACTTGAGGCTTCTACGGTCGGTTTTAATTTGAAATCGCCGATCGATCAAGTAGGGTCTCCACCTCGTTACTGCGTAGACAATGACGAGCATCTCCTTATCATATTTTGACATATTTTGATGGGAGGGAGATAATGCCTTACTGATGTATACGAGTGGTCGACCATCTTGCATGAGAACGACTCTAATTCCGATTCCAAATGCGTCGGTCTCAATGATGAAGGGTCGGCTGAAATCTGGTAGCGCTAGCACCGGCGTCGTCGTCATGGCTGCCTTAAGTTTGTCGAAGGTAGCGGAGGCTTTGTCCGACCATTGGAAGGCATCTTTTTCTAGTAGAGAAGTGAGGGGTGTGCTGATCTTCCCAAAGTCCTTAACAAATTTTCGGTAGTAGCCCGTTAGTCCAAGGAACCCGCGTAGTAATTTCACGTTTGTAGGTTTCGGCCAGCCTTGCATTGCTCCAATTTTTGTTGGGTCTACCACCACTCCTTATGATATTATATGCCCAGTGATTTAAAAAGCGCTAGGCGCCAAGGTCCAAAAATGCCCGAGGCGTTAGGCGCTTGCCCGAGCGTAGTGAGGCGCTAAAATATAAAAATATATAATATAATTAATAAATTTAATTATTTAAATTTTTAAATAAAAATATACTATTAAATTAATCTAATAAATACAAATACTATTACTAGTATATAGTTAACAGTATACAGTAAGTATACTGTTAACAATATACAGTAAGTATACTGTTAACAGTATACTATCGAAAGAGGAGAAGAGTGTAAGGGAAGAGTCGAAAGACCGAGGGTGTTAACTGAGAAGAGCGGGAGCGGCAGTTGTGAGCGACGACAGTAGCAGCGGTAGCGACAACGACAGCAGCAACAACGGGAGCGGTAATAGTGGCACCGGCAGCAGCGAGTAGCGGGAGCGGGAGCGAAAGCGGCAAGCGGAGACAGTGGCAACGGTAGTAGCAAGCAGCGAGAGCGGGAGCGGAAGCGGCGAGTGGAGACAATGGCAATGGTAGCGGCGAGCAACGACAATAGGAGCGGTAGCGGTAGCAGCGAGCAACAGCAACGGCAGCAGCAGCGAAAGCGACGAGCGGCAACAGCAACAGCGACGGCAGTAGCGTGAATGGTGAGTAGGGTTAGGGTTGGGGAAGTCACGCTGATATCGATGCTTTAGTTGGTTCGATTGAACCAACTAAAGCACCGGAGACCGAACCAGACCTCAAACGCTGGTTTGGTCGCTTGGTTTAACCCAGGCGCTCGCTCGAAGCGCTTGGCACCTAGGCTCAAGCGAGCGCCCAGGCGGCGCCTCTTTGAAGCACACCGCTTGGAAATGAAGTGAGGCGTTCGAGCCTTGCCTCGCCTCACCCGAGCGCCTTTTTAAATCACTGTATGTGCCCAAGGTACTCTACATTTTGTTGGAGAAAACTGCACTTTGGCTACTTAACAAAAAGATTATTCTCCCGAAGGATCGTCAAAACAACCCGTAAATGCTGAAAGTGAGTCTCAAGAGAAGGACTGTAAATGAGAATATCATCAAAAAATACCAGCACAAATTTGCGAAGTAAGCTCCGAAAAATATCGTTCATGAGACTTTGAAAGGTTGAAGGAGCATTAGTGATTCCAAAAGGCATTACCAAGAATTCATAATGGCCGTTATATGTGCGGAATACAGTTTTAGTAATGTCGTCTTCACATACCCGAATTTGGTGATAACCGGATCGGAGGTCCAACTTCGTGAAGACTCGAGCTCCTTTTAACTCATCAAGAAGTTCATCCACCGCTGGTATTGGGTACTTGTCCTTGACGGTGATATCATTTAAATCTCGGTAGTCGATGCACATCTGCCAAATTCCGTCCTTCTTGCGTACAAGTAGCACCGGTGAGGAATATGGGCTGCAACTTGACTGAATCACCCCTGTTTAAAGCATCTCCTTTATGATCTTTTCAATTTCATCCTTCTAGAGGTGAGGATATCGGTATGGTCGAGTGTTCGTTGGTGGCTTGCCCGGAAGGATTGGAATCTGATGGTCATATTGTCGAGTAGGAGGAAAACCGTGCGGCTCAGCAAAAATGTCGACAAATTCAACAAGCAATTAGACGAGATTTTAATCTTCAATTTCTATTTTCTTTCCCTCTGGTTGTTGCTGGAGATGCATCAAAAAGCCACCATTTACCTTATGCAAAACTTTCTCCATTCGTTAGGTCAAAACGGTTGTTACGTTGCTTCCGCGCTTCCCGCATAGGATGATCTGTTTGCCTTTGCAGTAGAATTTCATAATTAATTTGGAGAAGTTCCGACATCACCTAGCGTCGTCAGCCATTCTATGCCAAGCACGGCCTCATAGTCATCAATTGGTATGAGGAAGAAGTCGGTGATAATTTTTGGTCTTGCAGTAATAGTTTCACCTGCGGACATCTTTGGTCGCACTTTAGGATTCTTCCATCGGCGACCTTTACGTCGAACTTGCTGTAACCTTCGATGTGGAGCGTCATCCGAGTAACAACCTTACCGTTTACGAAGTTATTAGTGCTGCCCGTGTCGATGAGAACAGTGATTGGTTGTTGTTTGAGAAGGCCTCTAACTTTCATCGTTTGCGGGTTTGAGTAGCCGGCTAGTGCGTGTATCGTAAAGTTGATCGGTTGTGGCTCTTCTTTCACATCTTCTTCTTCATGTTCAAGGCTCTCTTCTGGATGTTCAATGACCTCTTCTTCTACTGGTTCAATCACAAGAAGTCTCCCTTTTTTACAGTGATGCTCGTGGTTCCACGGCTCGTCGCAATGCCAACATAACCTCTTCGCAGATCGCTCTCGAAGCTCTTCTCTTATCAACCTTTTTGGTGCAGGGGCTCGGTTGATAGTAGGGAGGGCTGAGGGCTTCGGTATTGCTGGTCGGGGAGCGACTCTAGTCCTTCGGGCTTCATGGTTCAATCGCTCATCTTGAAGTCGTGCGAAAGAGATGGCTGTCATAAGCGTGTACGGTTGTCACGCTTTAACTTCTTCCCGGATCTCTGGCTTCAAGCCTTCAATGAAGGTCCCTAATAGCTGTTTTTCAAACCAATCACGAGTTTGATTAAATAACCTTTTAAACCTGGTTTGGTACTCCTGAATGGCGGAGGTTTGTCGGATCTTTACTAGTTGTCCGTCAATGTTCTCGTAATCGATTGGTCCGAAGCGGATTAGCAGTCCTTCTTTGAATTGTCGCCATGAGAGGACTCCATAAGTGTGTTCAAACCAGTCAAACCACTGTATGGCATCCTCTTCAAGATGTATAACTGCAATTTCCACCATAGATACGTCTGCGGTTTTGTGGTACCGAAAATATTGCTCCACACGCGAGATCCAACTAATCGGGTCTCTTTCTTCCCATCTAGGGAAGTCCACCCTCATGCGTGGATAGTTGGGATCGGTCTTAGAGCCTCCCCTCTCTTGGAAGTCATCTCTTCGGGCTTGGTGTGATTGGTCAGAGCTCTCTCCTTGATGTGATTTCTTCGGGCTTGGTGGTCGGCCCAAACTGAGTTCGATAAAGAGAGTTTGAATCTTATCCTCCATTCGCGCCTCGAAGGTTTCAAATTTAGCATTGATTACCTCCTTAGATGTCATAGTATATGCTTCCAAATCTGTAATGTTAAGATCTCTCTTTTGTTATTGGGTTAAAGGCATGTATAGGTTGAGAGAAGTGGTGGTCGAAAGGGTTGATGGATTGGTGGATGTAGGTTGCAGTTTAGGCTTGTTTTGTGACTGTTTTGGATGCAATTTGAGGGTGTGGTTTGGTGGAGTTTGAGGGCTGTGATGGTAGTAGATGAAGATTAGGGAAAAAGTTTTAGATCTGTGGTAGATGGCAGCAAAGGTTTGATAGAAATCAATGGAAATTGCTGCATATATGTGTTCTTGTAAAAGCAGAATTGTCGTCGAAGAAACAGCGGTTTCTCGACGAAATTTCCAGCAAAAGCCGAGAGATTTAAGGAGGAAATTTGACAACAAAATCTCGGTTTATATAACAACAAAGATGACCAATTTAATCAAGAAAATTTCAGCAGTATAACAGCAAGGAAATTGGTGCAAGTTGCGATACCAAAATTCTCGTCAAAAAATTTCAGCGGTTTGCGACGAAAATTTACAACAACACAAGAACGTTTTTAGAGATTAATTCCTCAATAGATCAATCTTAGATGGAAGCCAAGAAGATCTATGAAGTGTATAAGAAATTTCGTTCAAAAAGGGTTGCAAATAGATCGGTTAAGGCAACAATATGCGGCTGAAATTTTCTACAGCAATCCTTCGTTCGTAAAGATGATAACTTTTCCGACGAAAATAATTCGCAGGAATATAGGAACAATTTTTTTGGATTTTCGAATAAGGATAACTAAATTACAGCAACAGTAAGGTAGGAAACCAGAACCTGTTGCAATTCACGGGGAGATCAAAGGATGATCCGCGATGGTGGAGATGACGGCGGAATTCGGCGACGATCTTTTTAAGCAATTGTGAGAATTGCTTTGGGCGGCTGTGGAGGGCTAATGGATGGTTGTGGAAGGGCAGCGAGACGCCAAGAACGCTGCTCTGATACCAGATGTTAGAACCCTTGCAGATTCTAAGCTTGGGGTTGATCTCTTTAGGGGATCGACCTCCTTGGAACTCTATAAGGGTTCCTTCCTCCAAATTGCTGCTTAAAGGCTGCAGAAAAGATTCATCTATTGCTTGTTAAAAGAGTATGAATACATGGCTATTTATAGGGCTTCTAAACCCTAACTCATAATAGGACTCCTACTCAAGACTCCTATTCCTTTACAACTCCTAATGCTTCTCTAAGAACAACTCATAATAGGACTCCTAACCCTAGTCGACCTCTTCACCTCTTTAATAGGGGTTGGCTAGATAGGTTAACATGAATGCCCCTCTCAATTAGGGCTCTCCTAGCTAGAGTCCTAACAGGGGCTTCAGAAGCAGGGGCCACCATCAGATCCACTTCTTCGGTCATCGAGGGAGGACAAGGGACAACCTCAGGAGGAGCAGGAGAGAAGACCTTAGGTGATATCACTTCAATCCACTCTCCCCCAACCATCAAAATAAAAGGAGAAGGGGCGGTAGAAGAAGCCTTGAAAAGTAGAGTCATTATAGGAGGAGCCACCATGATTGAGGCAATAGGGCTAAGATCTTGACCGTTGATAGGAAGATCAGTTGGCACCATCTTAGACCTGTCAAAATCACATGCCTCCCTAGAAAGGTTTGACAACGAGAGCAGAGATATCAATTAATGTGGCATCTCCCAAGGAGCCCTTGGCAGGAATCGATGGATCAAAAAGCACGTGTGAATCACATGAATCCAAATCCCGAGGGAGAGGAGGACCCAATAGCATCGAGCGCCTCTCGGATTCCCTCCCTTGTTCCGGCGTGGTTCGACCACCATGCCATAGGCCTTTCCGACAAATGATCGACCAATGCTTCTCAACTTTAATCCAAGGGCCAACAGATTGGTATCCAAGCACGAGGGCAAGTCATCTTTTGGGGTGGTAAAGCCATCCAACCCAGAAGGGGGTTGTTCCACCTCTCTCCAGAGATCAACCCCTTGGGAGGAAACCGACAAAATAAGGAAGGAAGTCCAAGAGGGGTTCGAAACCAGAGGGCAAGCTTCAACTTTATGCCCAACACAACCACATTTGAAGCACGCCACCGAAAGATTCTCATAGGAGATAGCCTAAAAGATGCCTTCCTTAGGTCTTCTGAGCCAACACACAACCCCCCCCTCTTCCCCCTTGAGGGGTTTAGTGAGATCGATATCGATACAGACACTCACATAACACCCTCTCTCCATCGACAAGGAACGTTCATTAATCCATAGGGGGCGTCCCAGAAGCGAGGCCAAGTGAGTGACACACTCATGATTCCAATATTCAAGCAGATGAATTGAACCCAGACCAGAACCAAGGGGATCCTCTCGGTGAGAGGCTAGAAATTGGCTCTCTAAGGGAGCCAAGAATCCCCACAAGGGAGCCAGAAGTCACGATCGAATAAATGGGAGGCAAGAGACTAGAGAGGCCGAAGAGATGGGTGGATTCGAGGGCCTGTTTTCTCCCCATCGCCCTAGAAAACCAAAGCATCACTCTCTAGTAGTAAAGAAGAGAGCATCACTCTACACTCCACCTTAATATTCTCATCTCAACAGTATCAAATTTTTGTACATGTTGTTTTCTATTTATCCGATGCTCTGACTCATAAATCTGACAAAAATCTTACATTTATCTTACTAAAACTTCTTTTTAATCTAAATGGAAAATGATGATAGTACAAAATTCCCAAAGGAAGCCAATTTCTTAATAAAACAAATGTTTTTCATTATGCAACAGGTATTAAGGAGAGTTAAGCGTGAAGCTAGTACAATTTCAATCTTCCTGTTTTTGTTAATGATGCCACATGAGGAAATCACCAAGCTTTGCAACTGATAAGATTCATCAAGCTTGTGACACTCTGGTAACAGATGCAGAAATGAAAATGAGATATTACATTCAAGGTAATTAATCCAAATAACCATACAGATCTTAATCCAAATATCTCATTAATTCAAGGTAATTAATGAGATATTACATACAGATCTTAATCATTTATCCAAAATAACCATCTGAAAGAATATCAAAGCAATCTAATTTGTCCACAGTGCAAATTTTGTTTTCTTACAATTAAACAGTGTATTATCACCTCACCACTCCAGCTAAGATAATTGTTAAATCCTTTTAAATGCATAAGTAGATCCACCTTACCTCAATGGAACACCATGCAGCAATAGTGTATAGAACAACTAGGCATGTTGGTCTGGGATATCATGTAGCTGGTCCTGCTCAGTCTGACTGTTTCATCCATTGCCAGCAATGTCAGTCGGCTATTTTCTGATGCAGAAACTTCAAACTTTGCAACTTACATCTATGTTAAGTCGACATCTGACCATGACTGTTGCATCAATTGAAAGAATGTCTACAAATGGTAATTTTCTGATGCAGATACATCCAGTTTGAAGCTTACCACATCTAACCACATATATCCTGCATGATCAGTGAGCCCTTAACTCATTATTTATTATGGATGTTAGATCTTAGGTGAACCATCACCTAGATGAACAATACACCAATTCTAGTTCGTTTCTAGTGTTGTTCAATCACCATTTGTCCCCGCAGCTGCAAGTTCCATCTTTAAAATGGTGATAGAAGCACCCATCTGTTATAAAGATATCTCGGTCCTCGATTTTGCTTATAAATTTAATTGATGAGTGGCAGTCAATGCACATCCGGACATTCTTGGAGACACGTATAGGGATGTTAGCACGCAGAAAGATAATGCCTAGACATACTGCAAGCTTTTCAGTGTGGTAACAAGTGAAGGGATCAACTTCTCCTTGATCACAGAACACAATATTCTGAGGAACATACCCACCCTTCGACATTCCATCAGCTAACTTGTTCCACATGGCCAGAATTGTCTCCATTTCAGGATGGGAGCTATCTCCAGATTTAAAGGAGTGGATGGCACTGCCTATTTCTATCCAGCTACATATGTCAACCATCTTTAACCCCTGATCCCTCAGCGCATTCCTCATGGTACTAGCAGAATCCCACAACCCGGACATGGCAAAGATGTTATAGAGCACTATGTGATTCAAAGCATTTTGAGGTTCTAACTCAAAAAGTGCCCTTGCTGCCCTTTCTCCGATCTCATAATTTGAATGTAGTCTACATGCTTTAAGAAGAGTAGCCCACAGGCAAGCATCAGGTCTGAATGGAATTCTTCTGATGAGATCCAGAGACTCCTCCAGTAAACCTGCAGTACCCAACATATCAACCATGCAGGTAAAGTGCTCCAAGGTGGGAGAAACTCCAAAAATATCCTCCATCATTTTAAAAAGCTTCCAGCCTTCATCTACAAAACCTTCTTGGTTGCATGCCGAAAGGATTGCAGTAAAAGTAATATGGTCCGGCTTGATACCAGATTGCTGCATTTGTTTAAACAAGCTTAGGGCATCCGTAGTCATTCTGTGGAGTGAATAACCAGCCATCATCGCGTTCCATATTACCAAGTCCTTTTCAATTACACAGTCGAACACTAATTTAGCATCTTTAATACTACCACATTTTGCATACATATTTATCAGGGTGCTTGCTAAAGTAAGAGGACAGCCATCAGGTCTGCCCTTTTCAATGCGGCTATGCAATTCTCTGCCCAACCTCAGAGCCATTATATTGCTGCAAGACAACAGTAGGATCATCAACGTAATGGAACTAGGAACAAAGTTCTGCTCTAACATTTCCAAATATAGCTTCAAAGCAGCTTCTGGATGCTCATTATAATTGTGACCTGCCATGAGTACATTCCAAGACACTACATTTTTGTCTTTCATTCCATGAAAAACCTTGGTAGCAGAAGACATGTCACAACATTTCGCATACATGTCAACCAATGCACTTGAAACAAAGACATTAGACTCAAAACTATTTCTCAAAATGAAGCCATGAACTTCCTTTCCAGAATGATGTAACTTAAGGCCTGCGCAGACTGAGAGAATAGAAGTAATGGTTACAGCATTAGGTTGGATTATCACATCCAACAGGCCAATCAGAACGCTAGAACATCTTGTGCTGAACGATTTTGGCAATTGCATCTCTCGAAACAAATCCAATGCCTCATCATTAAGACCAGAATGATGGAAGCCAGATGTTAGTGCATTCATAGAAACAACATTGGGCTTCAAACCCTTCCGAATAATTTCAAACAAAAACTTAAAGGCCTCATCTTTTTGGCCCCTTCTTGCATAAGCAGCAATAAATGTATTGTATGTGATCACATTAGGCACAAATCCATCTTTCTGCATCAAATCAAGAAGATCCAGGGCCTCACTCATCTTATCCTCATCAGCATATGCTGCAATCAGTGCATTCCACACAGGCACATTCCTATTCTCCAGATCAGCAAACACCCTCTCTGCAAAACCACTCTTTCCGCACTTGAGATACATATCAATCAAAGACCCACCCACGAAAACGTTCATCTTCATTCCATTCCTTATCACATATGAATGCAATTCCTGCCCAAGATTCAAAGCCGTCAGGCCCGAGCAAGCAGGAAGAATGCTTGCTATCGTGACAGCATTTGGTTTCAAATGCAAGCACATTTGTCTGAAAATTTCCAGTGCATCATCAAAGCACCCATTCTGAACAAGACCAGACACAACTCCATTCCAAGAATTGGTGCCTGGCTGAAGCCCATTTTCTTGCAACTCGTCCAAGAGGAGAAGGGCCATGCCGGTCTCCCCGTTCCGAGCAAACCCAGAAATCAACGCGTTCCACGATATCAAATCCGGTCGAACCCCATTCTCCCTCATCGACTGAAACATAGCTTGCGCCACATCCAGCAACCCAGCGTCAGCATAGGCATTGACGAGAGCGGTCCACGAGATGACATCCCTTACGGTCATCCGATCAAAGAACGCGCGCGCTGAGGTGATATCTCCGCACTTGGAATACATGTCAACAATAGAATTTCCGACGACTATGTCGACCTCCAGAGGAGCAGTAATCACATACCCATGGACGGTTGCGGCAGTTCCCCAGTCCCGCAGCTCGGAGCAGGCCTTGAGGATCTTCGGCAGGAGGAACCTATCAGGCGTGGCACCGTCCGCGATCATGGAGGCGAGCACGGAGATCACGTCGCTCCACCGCTGCGACCGGCAATGGGAGCTGATGAGCTTGGCGTAGGAGCGGGCTTTGCTGTGGGGCGTTTCGTCGAACGGGTCGGCGACTTTGGGGAGATATCGAGAATTGACGGGAGACGTGGCTTGCGCAGTGCATTGTGGACTCGAATGGGTCGCCGGGATTCTGGAGGGGAGGCGGTGAAGAGGTGAGAGGGATTTGGCTTGGAGGAGAGAGGGAAGGATGGGGAGAGAGGAGTTGGAGGTGGAAGCAGAAGGAATAGCGCAGCAACAGCAAGGTAACATTTTTTTGCCCTTCTTTACCCCAAAGACCGAGACTTGAAGCTGCTGCCGGTTTAAAAGGATCCGCCCATAACCCAAAGCAGATCTTTGTCTGAGAGACCAAACGCAGCAGCGACGCCGAGCAACGATGTAAAGATCGGAGATTTTGTGGACCCCGGAGACAGTAGACATATGAAGGGCTCACTATCCTGTTGGTAGCTTGCCTAAACACAGGATTCGGTTTCCGTGGACCACATCACCCCTGATAGTTTAAATGGGTGATATAGGGGGCAGGGGGCCTCGGTCCCAAAAGATTATGTAAGCACACGTGTCGCCATGAGAAACAATCACTGATAGATTACGCACGCAAATAACGGCTTAGATCATCCCACGTCTCCCGCAAATATATCCCCATTAAATAAAGGGATCGAGGCCAAGAAAAAGAGACGAGGTGAAGGAGATCGAGGCCAAGAAAAGAGGAACCCTAACACTCGAATCAGGTGCAGGAGACCTCGATGCCTCTGCCTGCGCCCTCGCCGATCGGTTGTTCCTAGAACTCTAGCTTCTCCAGGTGAGAGGAGAGCGGTAAGCAATGGAGCACATTACATGACGATGGAAGTAGGATCAACCTCTACTACCATTAACATTGCATTTCCATGATTGTTTCGATCGTTGGCTTGACTCCTATTAGGCCTTACATGTGTATAATTGATGGCAGTGAATATACTTGTAGAAGTTGTTAAATCACAGCTAAAGAACAAGAATTTACTTTAGTGGAATAGCTAGACAGAAGGGATGCATATGACCAGTGATTTAAAAGGCGTTAGGCTCTAAAAGTCATCGAGATCCAAAAATACCCGAGGCGCTAGACGCTCGGCCAGGCACTCGCTCGAGCGAAACAATGCACTAAAATATTAAAAAATATAATATAATTAATAAATATAATTATTTAATAGTATTAAAATTAAAATAATATATTATTAATCTAATAAATATAAATACATTATTGTTACTAGTATACTATTAATAGTATACTTTCGAAATAGGAGAAGGAAGAGGAGTGTAAGGGAAGACCGAGGGTGCAACGACAACGGTAAAAGTGAGCAGCGGTAGCGAGAGCGGCGAGCAATGACGGTGGCAACGGCAGCGGCGAGCAATGGCAACAGGAGTGGCGATAGCAGTAGTGGCGAGCAGCGGGAACGGTGACAGCGGCAGCTACGAGCGACGACAGCGGTAGTGGGAGCGACGACAGCGGGAGCGACGACAGCGGGAGAGGTGAGTGGCGACAACGGTAGTGGTAGTATGAACACGAGCAGGGTTAGGGTTGGGCAGCGACAGTTGATATCAGTGCTTTAGTTGGTTCGATTGAACCAACTAAAGTACCAAAGATCGAACCAGACCTAAAATGCTGGTTCGATCGCCTAGTTTAACCCAAGCGCTCATCCGAAGCGCCCGACACCTGGGCTCGGGCGAGCGCCCAAGCGATGCCTCTTTGAAACACGTTGCCTGGTAGTGAAGTGAGACGCTTGGGCCTCGCCTCGCCTCTCAAGCACCTAGGCGAGCGTTCTAGTGTCTATTAAAATCACTACATGTGACTATATAAGTTGTTCTAGCATCAATGTGAGAAAGCATTATGAAGATGCGATTGAAAATAGCAAGTAAATGTGACTCTTTGAAGCATCTAATTGCATTGAAATCATATTATAATGGCTGAGATTGGTTGCTTGGTCGGCTTGCATTTCCAATGAAGAGTAGAGATGCAGGAATTTTATCATTCTTTTGAGGGTATGTAGATGTAAATAAGCACGAATATGGTCATGAGATGAGACTATCCATGCATTTAGGTTTATGGAATCTATTATGTTTGAAAGATTGACTGTGTCAGGCGAAACAATTATATGCCATATTGCTAATACCAACTATATTTTATAGTGTAAGCTGGTGATTAAGACATGTCTAATGTGCATGTAGTTTTTTATCAGCTTTACAATGATGAAGCAACTTGACTGCTGATTTGATGTAACCGAAGAAGAAAGAATGTTATTGTATTTATGAAATTATTATTCAAAGATCTGCGATTCTGGATGCAATTTGTAAGAGGATGATAAGGTTGTCTCTCTTGCACATATTAAATGGCCATCTTAAGCCATTTATTATGATGTCTAACATGATGATTTCTTCTTATGGACATCATGGATGCCATGACGCTTGCTTACATAGTTGTTTCCTTCTTGACAAGCATTCCATCTCAAATACTATTGCAGAAAACTAAGAAACCTGCTGCATGGCTTTTCTAGTACCCTACAGATTGGTTGTTTGAGCTAACTACTTAAAGATCCAAGTTATACATTGTTGGTTATATTGTCACGGATTTAGTTGGTTTTGCTTAAGTCGTGTGGCACCCTTGTATGTCTGTCCGCAAATGTCAACCTCCCCGAAGCCTCTCATAGTCCCTTAGAACCCACAAAAAAGAAAACGGGTTATAGAAAACGTCTCACTCGGGATCCACAAGCAAACATTTCCAAAAACACTTCACAATGTAAATTACAAACAAACTTTACAAGCTCTGAACAGTTGCACGATAAAAGATCAAAATGATCTATTATAGACCGAATATCTCTCACAAGTGTCCACATAACACCTTTATTTATAAGCTTAAAACGGCCACCAAACCCAACTAAAATGAGACTATTAAGCATTCGGTCATCCCTCTACATGTTGTGTAAAGTATGAACATACCAAAAGACACGGACATACACAAACATTACATTAAACATCATATTTAGAAGTTTGTCCATGATATTCTCCCCCACTTATTCCTTCGACGTCCTCATCAAAGCCTTTGTCGACATTGCAACTCCTCGCCTTTGCTGAGTCTTCAATCTTCTGCTCCAGCTGCAATACGCCTCTTAGCTCCTAGCTGGTCTCTACTGTTGTTTTTGAGTAGTCGAACCTTTGGTCCGCTATGCTGCTTCAACTCGCCAATGACTCTGACTCTAGTGTGGGGTTGGCTGAGTTGTGTTGATCCCTATTGGTTCCTGCGGATCCTCCAGATGAAGATGAAGGAAGAGACCATCTTTACTATGCGTTAGTCTCTCAAATACCATATGCTATTTGAATTGGGTGGATGCTTGTTGGAGCTTTAACGAGCATCGCCTCGTAAACTTTCAAAGTTTTCGGTCATTCCTCCATAAAATGTCCATCGACTCTTCTTTCATTTAGTTGTCATTTCCAAATAGATTCACATCACTTCCACTTTCGATTAGCATTCTATTGGGAAATTAAGCGAATAATCCACTCTCAGTGGCACTGGTCCCCATTTATGAGGATTTGACAACTATTGTCTTCCATTATCTTCGAAAGGTTTTTGAACCTGTGCAGCGCTCCTCTGCTGGATAGATAAGAGAATTGGGATACTCGGTTTTGCACATTCTCTTAGGAGTTGAGAAGGCAATGGTTACTTGACTTTGCTCACCTCCTCAAGGGTTGTACTCCATGCATCAAGCTGGTTACTGGCCTTCGCCTACTCTTTGCTCACACTTTTGAAGCACTCGAAGTGTTTACACTTCTTGCGTTAAGTTAGCTACTGTGATTCACCTTCTCAATGCTATCGAACTTTTGGAATGCAGGAAGTTTTTACCCCAACTTAGAGTAAGTCTCTAATAGTTTTGGTCGCCTTTGGGATTGTATCGTCTTCTCCATCAACCCGGCTACCTACTCCACTGAGTAGCAAAGGTATAACACCGCGTACTGCCTACTTTGTTCCTTGTTCGTATACTCTTGCATGACCCGAAGTCCTTCACTTTCGGCTATCTTGATGAGAAGCTCGTTGACACTAATCTTACGAAGTTCCTTGGCCTCTGCACTTCAACCTTGTCTCGGTACTTGGAGTTTGCCTCTGCATGCTCCACCTCCTCGGCCCCTTTCATGACCAAGCACTCTCCCTCCATGAGAGCAAGGGATCAATGTCTTTAATGGAAGTTCCGCCTCTGCAGTACCATGGCGCTGCCATGCTCATGACCCTACTATCCGTCGCCTTGTATCTACATCCCTTTTCTTCACGATCAGTAGATATATCTCTGTGGCACTCCTTTGAGTCCACCTCCATTCTAACTGATGCTTGATTTTGGGTAGCTAAGTCCCTCTGGACTCGTCATCGCTTTCTCGCCCCTTTTGACCTCTTGTTTCAACACTTTGGTGTTCTCCAAGCATATCCTTTTGGTTTATGGAAAGACAGACTGCAACTCCCATGCATGGCCTCTGCCATCACGTTGTAGGGTTTGCACTAATTCTGTTCTCCTTAGCTTCCTTGGTAGTAACGTTCGCTTACTCGACATTGTCCTCTGACTTGCCGAGCTCCCTTAAGTGAATATGGGCTCTGGAGTAGTCCAACTCTCTAGCTGCTTTGATCATACCTCTGCATGATCAAGTCCCTCCCATGGGACTCACTGATACTTGCATTCAAACTTTTCCCTTGGTGGAACATAGCCCCCATATGCTGATGACCAAGGCTTTTATCCGATGCAAAATTCGATGCACGCACGGAAGACCCGCCTCTACGATACCATGGCATTCACTGCTTGAATCCATAATCCTTCTTGTCGTCGTGTTGTTCACCGAAATGGAGCTTCCAGTAGCTCCCGATCATACCTCCGTATGATCTAGTCTCTCACGGGACTATATCGTATGTATTACATTACCACGAACTGTTCCACTATGATCTGCTGCACCAAGTCACCTCCTGGTGACATCTCTATTGCATTCTGATCCTTGTGAGATGAACTCGAATTGTGATACATCCATGTGTGGCCTTTGCTAATACATCGCAGGGTCTCTTTTACCTTCGATTTTGTTCGCTCCTTTGGCAATCGACCTTCATCCACCCGCACTTCGGTCACACCTAGATGAAGCATCACTCTAGGATAGTCCGTCACCTAGTAGCTCTCGAAGTCCACCGACTTCGCTGTAATTAGTACACTATTGTCTGGATCCAGGGCCTTTGCCCCTACCAGCACAATCTCTGCTGCGCACC